TTTTTATGTTGTTTCTTTATCTAAATTCTCCTTCTTAATTTATTCAAAATTAAATGCTTTCTCAAGCTTTATTATTCACATCCTGTCTTAAGCATAGAGAGAATAACCAAAGCATAGTTATAGAATTCAGTGCTCTTGATACTTCTAGGGGCCTCGCGGATGAAAACTATTTATTGAAATCAAAACCACAGATATAAAAAATTAGATGTATTTAAACCGGTTTAAGTTTAAAGTGAACCCTTAAATGCATAATTTCTAAATTAGGAGTCTTGTGCCTAAGAAAAAAAAAAAAGACTCAATTTTACTGGTTAAATACAAAATCTAAATAAATGCTGGATATTATTAGTGGGTCCTACAGTGCATACATATTAATTGAGGTAATTAAATAATGCTTTAAAAGAATAAACTATTAAGCTTAGACATTAAAACTTCCAACGTAAAAAAAGTAAGAGAAACTAATTGAAAAAAATATGATTTTCAATCCTGGTAATTAAAAAGTTAAAATTTCATCAGGGAAAATTAGTGATGTCCAATCAACAAAAATTATATAATTTTTAAATTTACTCATAATATTATAGTATACAGTACAACCTAATTTGGTGCGATTAAATATAATATTCATCAAATTCTATTAAAAGGAATATAGATATTTTGTTACAGTATTGTTTATAAATTAAAGCAAATTTTACATAAATAAAAATATAAAAAATTATAAAATACAAAAATATATATCTAAAATTTAATTATATTAATCCTTAATGATCAAAAGTATTCTTATTTTTTAACGAATATATTTTCAAAGCATACTCATTGAATCATTAAGATTGAAGACCAAATAAAAAATTTTTAATGATCAGAAGTATTTTTATCTCATAGCAAATTTGTTTTCAAAGTACACTCTTTGAATCATTAAGAGTTAAAACCAAATAAAGTAAAGTTTTAGTTTATAAAATTAATAAATGATTCTTTTTAGTGCTGTTATAAGTTTTCAGCAACCTTAGTTTAAGAACCCATTATAATTAGTTAAATACATAAAAATTAACAATTAATTGAATATATTCAAAAATTTATACAGAAATAAGTTTGAGGTAAATAACAAAAACTCAACAGAGCTAAATATGCAAAACACAAAATGTTTTTTAGAAGACATAAGACACTGATTTTTGTTATAAAATGGTTTTAAAATCAGTTTATTTTCTAAAAACCAATTGTGTTTATTTGTAAAATAAAATCTCTTATGAAATTACAAATTTTTTGGTTAATATTCATGTACTTGAAAAAACTTTATTGGTCTTGTGGGAGATATTTTATTGATAAAAGAGATGAATGACTAGATAATGAAGAAGAAATGGGTTACGCACCATCATCTATAAATTCTAGAATGTTCATTTTACTAAAAGTTTATATTTTGCATTCAGGATTTATTCTTCAATCTGTTAAGTACTCAATTCAAAGCAGTTCTGTATTTGTGTTCAATCTTTTTTTTCCCCTTCATATAAATGAATACTATTGAGATGTGTTGAGTGTAGACTAGTTAAAATTGGGATAATATCTATTTTTGCTAAGTTTTAATGATCTGCATTAGTTCCTGAACAGTTATAGCAATACGCACTAGTCCTCCTTGTTCACCAAGAATATCTTGAGGTGAACACAAGAGTTCCTGCAAAATAGAAAATATATCCATCAATATATATATATATATATTATAACTACGCTTAAAATTATTGAAAGTTAAAAATTGAATTAAAATTTAAAAAGATGAACCACAGAGTAAAGACGCCCTTCACTTTGTAAAGTTAATTCATTTTTATTCAAGATCTTGTTGGGGCACCTAAATCATATTATAAAAACATTTACATGTATAAAGAGCGAAAATTCCTGCCGCTAAGTATTTGACAATCACACTATCGTCGATAAAGATTACGTTGGTGTAAAGAACCTATTGGTTGGGGTCACCAGCAGTGGTCCAGAGTGATGTTCTACGATGAATCTCATTTCAATGTGACAAGTTATTCTAACAAACAATTAGTATGGAGAGATGGGGAACATGTTATGCACAACAGTATGTTCAGGAACGTTATTGGTGTGACCCAAGCAGTGTCGGCAGGCGTCGTGCACAATTTCAGAATATCACTTCATATCTTTGAGCGAGGTAGTGCTAAATCTCAGCAATATTGCAGAGAGCTTATTCTTTATCATGTTTGTCTATTTAGGGGTGTGGTAGGTCCAAAATTTCTATTTACAAATGACAATATACAGCCACACAAGAGCGCTGAGCACACTGGAAGTAAAGGTAATGACCGTATGCAGTTGCCTGCATACTTCCCAGACCTGAATCCTATACAGCCTGTCTGGGATGCCCTAGGCAGGCGTGTTTTACAAAGAACACGCTCTCACTGAGCTTTGACAGAAGAGTGGAATAATATCCAAGGTACACCCTGATAATACAGTGAACAGCTAAAATAATAAATGCAAAACAAGCATTAGTGCCTGAGGTGATCTTACTGAAATACTCATACCTGTTTCATTCTGGCAAGAAGACTCATTTTTCTTGACTGTTTGGAAATCGTCTAAGGAGCGTGTTTTTTACATTCAATTTTTGATGTGACAATATTGGTACAATTTTGCATTACTATAAATGTACATTGTCACCAATAAATATGTACTTGTGTTAATTTCTTCAAACAATGTCTGTTATTAGTTATTCCGAAAAATGTAATTGTTCCTTAGCAATTGTCAAGCAGTGTAAAATATTTTAGAAGTCATTAAACTTTTTAAAAATCACCAATTTAGCGACATTTTCTTCACCTAGCTAAAAATTTTAAAAATCAATGCCTTATTCACATTTTTTCAAATTTTCATGAGCCCAAATAATTCAGCATTGGAGTAAGTTTTAAAATATAAAAGAATAACACCCCAAACGTTTTTCATTTTCTCAAAACTGTTGTTCTCTCCATATCAACATCGCTGAAAGATAGGCTAAACTTCACCGAACAATCACGAATAACTGTTGCAAACTCACATCAGTTATTCAAATAACATATTATCCTGCATATCATAGCAGGATAGAATATTACAAAAAAACATAATTTCATGCAACTACAGAGCCTTCGAAAAACAGCTTTTCACCCAGAACTCAGTGGGTTTCAAATTAATTATATAAATTTAAATGCATCCAATCACATGCAATTTGCCATTCGAAAACAAATTTAACATTTTAAAATTTTTCAATGCCTCCTCCAGGACAAAATAAAAAACTTGCAGCAGATATAACATATCATAAAAAAAAAAAAAAAAAAACTTTTGCGAGCAATTTATTGACTCTGGTTACTTGTTTCAGGTCTTTCATAGCCAGCTACTTTGACGATATTTGCTCAAAAATCACTGATGTTTTAAAAAGTGTTTACATTTTTAGAAAAACTATTTATTGATCATTATATATACCAGCATATATTTCTATACATTAAGCAATTGTTTAGAGATATAAAATTAGTTATTGACTTACCAAATTTTCTGCTGTATTCGGATTTTGCAAAATTGGCTACATGAAACTGCATGCTGCATTTTTTTTATAATGTGCATGGTACTTTGTCAATCACAAATTTCCCAAAAACAACTTACAGGTGTTTATGTTTATTATACATGCCTGGCTCCCTCTACTCTTTTTAACAAAGTGTCTGATTGAATATTTTCTAATCACTAAGCATTGTTTATTGATTTATTTTGTTTAACCAATTAAAATTATTAAAGATCAGACAATTTTCTTTATTATGCAATACTTAGATAAAATATTATTTTTTATTTTTTTTTTTTTTTTACAAATTGAGACAGCTAAGAGTGCAAAAAACCACTTTTAACAATATTGAAACAAATTGCCATTTTAATAGTTTAAATTTTTCTCTATTTAACAAAAAAATTTCCAACAATAATTTCATTTTAGTGTAATTGAAGAAGTGGAGATAACTCAAATTTCCCACAAAAATGGAAAACATATAAACACTAAACCCATATTAAATTCCTTGAGTTTTTATTATTTTTTAAATTACCAATAAATAAATTTACTTAAAATAAAGTACTTTATTTATTTGTAGTCAATATTTAACACAAATTTGTATTTCAATAACATCTTTTACAACTCTACTTCACTTTTCAAGATAGCATCAACGCTCGTGTTGTGTAAATATTGTGAAATAGATCAACTTAGCAATTTCGGTTAAGTTATTTGATTTATTAAGTATTTTCAGTTATAACTTTATATTTGTCTTTAATCACCATACAGCAACAGTACACAATTATTTTCATTGGAGGAGAGGAATTGTTATATCTAGTATAACTGTACATTGACTGCATTAATGCTATTTAAAGACGAAGGAAAAATTCACACAAATAAATTAAAAGAATGTGCAAGTTTTAAAAAAAAAAAGCAAGTTGTAAAAACTACATAATATACATCAATGTAAGTCAATCTAAAACTAAAGGTATCAAACAAATTATAATTAAATAACTTTACTAAAGTTGCATAATTTGTTAAATAAGCAGTAAAATCAGTAAATTGTTTTAATTAATTTTCTACAAAAAATATTCATTATATATAGTTATTTTAACATTGATAATAATTCTTTTTAGCTTAAAGGTATTTTTTAACAATTTGTAAAAGAGAGATTGGAAATAATGTGCAAGTTAAAAAAGCAAGATTGTAAAAAAACTACATAATAAATATCAAAGTAACTAACTACAAAAAAAAAGTAATAAAATAGAAAGCAAATTAAAGCTTATTAAATTGTTCAAATAAAATTTTATACTTTGATAAACAGAAGATCAGCTATTTCTTTACTAATTTTCTGTATTTACATCAACTTGCTACTAGCAATATTAATTAAATCTAGTTATACAGTTCTGTCAATATTGAAATTAATTTTTAAAAAAATAATCTTAGAAGCATTTTTTAAGAATATATAGAAGCAAAAAATAGGTATAGATAGAAAATAATGAAAACATCTGGTGTGTGCAGTAACTATATTGAGCAGCATGAATAAATGAGACAACCTCTGTTTCATAAATAGGAATTTAATATATTTGCAATACATAAAAGGAGTAAATATATATGTATATATATATAATTCTGCATAATTTGTTTGATTTAGTTGTAGCGAATTATAAAAAAATAGTTGCCACTTTGTTTTCAGTCGGGTGAAGGAAAAGTGTAAAGGAAAAAAGCAGTGCCAATCAAGACAGTAAGCAAAAAATAGGATAAAATGACTTGACTCGTTGAGGAAGCAGCCAAATTAGGCATTTCTTTGGTATTTTTCAAGGAAGCAGCTTGTGTTTCAAGAAAGGATTCTGCCCAACTTTGAAGTTCTGCCTGGAACGAGAAAACAGGCGAGAACATACGAATTAAAATTTCAACTCATAAAATTTTGAATAAAACAAGGAAAAATAAAAATAATTTTAAATTTTACTTAAACAAATTGTGTAAAAGTGTTATGAAGTGTTTCAATTAATCTGTGGTAAAAATATGAGGATTCTTTCTAGAAATTAACTAACGATAAAAGTTTATTGCTTTAAAATTTGAAGAAATAAAACTTGTTTTATTGAAGGCATTCCACACAAGAGTTGATTGCAATCAGAATTTAGTTTGCAAAAGTAAACGGGGGAAAAAATTATATCAGTACATTTTGCCAAACAAAACTGAAATATAAATTCATTAGATTATTTTTTTACAGTTTATGGACAAATATGAGTTTACTTATACACTTTCACGATTAAACAATTCTACAAAAGAAGTGGACACTTGAAATCATAATTAAAGAAATCTGCAATAATTATTCTATTGAAATTATAGAAATAAATAAAAAATATAGTGTTAAATAGAAGAAACATCTTTTAATACTGTTTAAAACAGTTGAAACTAGATAAAAAAAAATTTGAAGACAGATTATTGAAAAATGTTAATGTTTAAAACACAAAATGTCTTAACCAATATCTTATACAACAAACCATTATGAAAATATTTCCTTCAGTTTTTAAATATCAAGTAACATCTAATATGGTGACTGAAATTATAAAAAAACTTAGTTCATAATTTTAAATAAAAAAAATAAGCAAAAATAAAAAAAACAGTAATCTTCTGATATACAAATTTAGAAAACATCTGTATATTTAACATGAATTGTAGTTAAAATTAAAAAAAATTTTAAACTTAGTTTTAACTTCCTAAAAAACATTTAATTTGAAACCACCTTTTAAAACTGCACTTTGGCTTGATTTTTTAATTAATAGCCATATAATAGAATACTCCCTATGATCATTGGCAACAGTTTCAACCCCACTCCTTTATTAAACTTTGATAACATTTAAAATACTAACTGGCAATATAAGAGCAAATAAAGCTACTACAGAAGCAACGCAGAATATATTCGTAATTTGATAATTCCCTACAGATATCAACTTAGCATTGATTTTTGAAATATTCTTTGGCTATACAAGAACTGAAAAATTATTACACAGCACAAAAAGGTAAAATATCTTTCAACTTATTCGAATACAGCGATAGTATTTGAAATTAATTTGCCATACAAGAGTAAACAAAACTACCACAGAAGCCTTATAGCACCAAATATCTTTTATTTATTAGACATCAACTCAGCAATAGTATTTGAAATACTAATTAGCCAAACAAGAGTAAACGAAACTACCACAAAAGCAATGAGAATCGAGTATCTTTTATTTATTACAGACACCAACTATAAATACTAATTAACTATACAAGAGTAAAGTAAACTACCACTGAAGCACAATAGGATCCTATACTTTTTATTTACTACAAACACCAACTTAAAAATAGTATTTGAAATACTAATTAGCCAAACAAGAGCAAACAAAACTACCACAAAGAAAAGAGGATCGAATATCTTTTATTTATTACAGACACCAACTATTTAAATACTAATTGACTATACAAGAGTAAAGAAAACTACCACTGAAGCACAATAGGATCATATACTTTTTATTTACTACAAACAGCAACTTAGAAATAGTATTTGAAATACTAATTAGCCAAACAACAACAAACAAAACTACCACAAAAGCAAAGAGGATGGAATATCTTTTACTTATTATGAACAACAACTGAGCAATTGTATTAGAAAAACTAATAGATCATATAAGAGCAAACAAAACTACCACGGAAGCAAAGAGGATCAAATATCTTTGATACAATGCAGACACCAACTGGGCAATAGTATTTGAAATACTAATTGGCCATACAAGAGCAAACAAAACTACCATAAAAGCAAAGAGGATCAAATGTCTGAAACATTGCAGACACCAATTTAGCAACACTAATTGACCACATATGAGTAAATAAAACTACCTCAGAAGCACACGATGACAAATATACAATCTTGTATTGAGATAATTGATTTGAAAAGCAAGACTATTAACTGAAATATATCAAACAGCAACAAAAATGCAAACATACAAATAGAAAACAAGAAATTACTCATCTACAATTGTAATTTTAACTGCTTTTTTTGGCAAATTTTAAAGTATAACAAAACGCAACATAAACTAGTACTAATCACAATTAAAAAGAATATAAAAAGCTGAAAAGAAGAGTTGAAATAAAGATTCGGAGATTATTTATAATATTGCTGCATTAAAAAAAAAAGAAACAAAAAAAAAAGGAAGAAAGAAACGAATTGTTTGAATATTTTTATACACTTAAAAGATCTGATTCAGCATTTATCTATGTAGTTCCAAAAAAGCAAATGAAATACAAATTGTTTAAAATCATCAGCCGTATTTTAACTAAATTTTACATTAGTTATTGCACACACCAGACATAAAGAAAAAAATAGCAAAGAAAGGAAAATGCTACTAAATTGCGTTAAAAGCTAGGCAACACACATGATTTTTTTTTCTTCAAATCTGTAAAATTATTGGTTAAACTATCTTTTAACCATTTCATATATGATTTGCACTAAAAAATAACCTTTTACATCTTAATCAAGAGATTGCGGCTTCATCAAAATATGCCTGAAACGTTAGGAAAAAACTGCATACATATTCATTGATTGGACAATTTCTATTATTACAAAATTATAAATTACATAAATGAGAAATTGATATATTTCTTTTCAGCCTTATTCACTAAATTTTAAAACCTATATATTAAAGTATAAATGAATAAAAAATTTTCAAAATTATGAGCAGTGTTATTTTAAGAAATAAAAATGTCAGCATTTTAAAACAATATTAACAGAGAGTTCAACTCCTGATACAGATTTGGACCATACTTGTGTGATAGAAAAATTAAATAAAAATGATGTCGAAATTTTTATAATTATTTTGTGAGCATTTCTTTCCCCTCTTATGCACAAAAAAGGCATATTTTGAATATAATTATGGAGAGAAAAAAAATTCTTTCAAACATTTCTGCAGAAAAGAAAATCAAAATTTTTTACTTTCTAAAAGAAAACTCTTTCTGCAAGCACTCTTAACGTTCTGCGACAACGTCGGCGTGATTCTGCCATGGGGAATTTCAGTGTTACAAATATGTTTGTATACTGTAGATCATATATTATTCTACAGTATATCAGAATACTCTCTCAATTTTTTCTATTTAGGATACTCTAAGATTAAACATTATGCTAAAGATTTTAAGTAGGGTCTATTCCAGGTCATAAAAGAGTATAAAAATGTAATTTAGGCTCAACTATAGCACTTAAAATACTTTGTAAAGAGCAGTCATAAACGCTTAGAAAAAGAATTTCCTTGACTTTAAAATACTGATTTCATTGAATTTGTCTATGAATTATTATTTAATTGCTAATCTTTAAGTTATATATTATCCTTAAACATTAAATAAATTACACAACACTTATATTTCCCATTAGAGTTTAAACAAAATTAAAAAAAAAAAAAAGAATTACTGTAAGATCAATTTTTTTACAAAAAAAAAATGAACTTTTAGGTACCTTATAATATAATTCATTTACCATTACATATTGGGCATTTTAGTTAAATTGACAAATTTTTTTTTTTTCAGATTGACTAATTTTCTTTACTTTTACCTATTCTCTCTGCCCTGAGGCCACTCTGTATAGAGTAATACTATGCGTAGAATTTTTTTTTCTTCTTCAGAATTGAAAAGATGATACCACAAACTTAGAGAAAAATTTTTAAAACTTTTTTTATTAATAGCTGTGAGTGTCATATGACTAATTTTGTGACTAATTTCAATTGCTGCATATTCTTTGTCTTACATTCATTTATATGGAAAATTTATTGTCACACAAAACAATAATAAAAATATACTTTAATACAAGAGTTTGATATGAGTTCACAGTTATATATGATTTTTAAAGCAATAAAAATAAATTTTACATGAACGCAGTTAAGCAAAGCACATATAGTGAATCATAGATGGCATAAATCAGGGCATGAAATTTCAGTTCCAAAGATACTAGTCAAGCTAAAAGTTTTGACCACAACTATTATAAATTCATAAAAAATATGAAATTTTTTTTAAATGTAAACAAATGCAGCAGTAAGAATTGTTTGTTAGATGAAACCATGAATAGACGAAAAAGAACGTAGGAAGTTAAAATATTGAAATGCATTAATTGTAATAATAATATTAAATCAAAATAATGTTGTCTTAAGGTGTGATAATTTGGCAGGTGAAGAGAGGACAACACATAATTATCTTTTTTATATATAAATAGAAGAAAACTGCTTTCGTCTGATTTCAAAACACCTCAACACACCACTTCATTGAGGTCAGATAATCTAAACGTACTTAGTTTAATTTGAAAACTTTTTTAAACTATCAAACTTAGTTGACAGTTCTAATATTTAATCACAAATGCAGAGCTGGTAATTGGAAATACGGCTCCGTTAGTTGAGTTAGGGCATGCCTCATTTCATCAAGTACAGAAAGTGATTCTGCTCAGCTGCAGAATATTTGCACAACTTGCAAAAAAAGAAAATATATATATATATACAGGGGTTTGTCTAGGTTTTTCTAAGAGGTACCAATTTTGTGAGAATGTAGACATAATTTGTGAAAATTAAAAAAATTAACACAAAAATATGGTAAAAATATGGATTTATCGTTTCTTACAAGACACAAAAATAAAATTTTAAGAAAAAGTATTTTGAAAGACTACTGTTTTTCCTTAAGTTGAATTTGAGAAGGTACCGCTAAACGGTAGTAAATTTGGCTTGGACAGACCCCCAATATATATATATATATATATAATTAGGCAGATCATAAAGAGGTCAGTAAACAAAGACCTCACTCAGTATAATTACCCCACTCACAAGAGAGGGTGTCATTTAAAGCAAACTGTAAATTGTTGTAAACTGAAAGGCTGTATTTGAACTGTAAATTGAACTTTTATGCAGTACAGTAGATGAATACCTTAGCTAACAACTTGAACACATGCATGAAAAATATAAAATTTAGTAGAACAAACATAGAACAACAAAAAAATAATGTTCTAATCATAAATACTCACATTTGGCACCCCTAAACGCCTGCAAGCCTCTAAAAAATTATCTGCGTTCCTTCTGCACTTGGCAACAGTCAACTTAGGCTAAAAAAGAAATTTTTTCAAAAACTTCATTATGCATATAACATAAAACAAATAGGAGCAGTGATAGCAAGAATTGATGCAGTTGCATACCATTATGACTATCAAGATATTACAAATTTTTAATTAATCAAAAAACTCAAGGTATCTAAAAAAGACTAAGATAATCGTTATAATTAAAAAAATTTTGTATGACTTAATCCTCTTACAAAACAATTTTGTAACAGGGTGCATAGCCAAATTATGCAACAAAAATAAGCATCTTTTAAACAATTTTCAAGACTCAAAAAATATTTTTAAGCACTTTAAAAAAATATCATAATTAGGCAGGATTGGAAGTTTTTTTTACAATTGACGGTTTTATCTTGCTTTAATCGTTTTCATATGCTATGGACGCCGAAATAGATTGGGGTTGAATTAACGCAATGTGAACTGTGTCTTTTTGCATAATTCGAAGCTATAATCAACATAGTAAAGGAAAAAAATCACTTTGAAAAAGGGAAAATTAAGCCCTTTTTAAAAACACCCATTGAAAAAAGCACCTTTAAGGGCTTTTAAAAAAAGGAACATCGAAAATAAGCACCTTTAAGCACTTTTTAAAAACTCTATGTACCCTGTGTAATAGAAGACAAAAGCAGGAAGTTACAAGCGCTGCTATTACAGATGGATGGAGATCACAAAAAACACCAAGTCTTTTCACGAACAAATCAAAGACTTGTGAATAATTTGATTAAAATAGGAAAGATATTACTAATTTTTTTTTTTTAAAAAAAGGAAAAAATCAAAGCAAAATCCAATAATTTTCTGGATAAATTACACGAAAAGAAAATCAGCATATTTTATATATAATAGCCAATTAAATTAGCACTATAAACAAAAAATAGAATTATATTCCACATTTAATAAAATAGATTATGCTAAATATCTATAAATTTGAGGTATCAGGAGAGTAGTATTTATCATGATGTGACTTGAGAGCAAAATTTTTTAGAGCAAAAATTTTGAACATTTCAGCATTAGTACTCTCAGCTGTAACCATACGAATTATACATAAATAAATTTTTAATTATTACATTTAGTACTCATATGGAATTTATACTAACACAAATAACACATAACACAAATTGTTGCGATTAAGTGTTGAAAAGAATAATAAATCTGAATTATAACACTGCTTTGCGATTGAAAAAACAATGTAAGTGCTTCCTATAGAATTTGAAAAAAGTGGCTTAAAACTACTTTCTTTCTATTACTAATGTTATGAATGCTAAAATAGAATTTTAAAAAAACTGATATAAAAAAAATTCATTTTTGAGCAAAATTTTCTTTTTCTTTAATAGGTAGCTTACTATACAAAAATATAAAAATCACAATTTTGAATTTTTTGTTGCTTACGTTGATTCGGCTATTGCATAGCAGAACAAATATCCCACCTAATACTCAAGATTGCACTTGTTATGCAAACAATATTCTGCATAGTCATATTAATTCCCTAAATGTTACGAGAAGCATAAATGAGAATAATTGTGTTACTAACCAAGAAACACTTGAAGTGTTCAGGCGGAATTTTGCAAATATTCCACAGCTCAGTGCAAATTTTATCAAATTACTTTATATTGTGATGCAACTGAGCAGAATTTGATAAAAAATTTCGAATTTCCCTGTCAAAATCAGATTTTTCACCATGATTGTTAATCAGACTTACTTCGGAAAAAAAATTATCAAAAGCTTTGTAGAGTTTTACCTTATAAGACTGAACTAACAAAGATACAGTACAGATTATTTAAATTGAACATTTTCTCAGATAGGTGTGGAATATGAGGAAAGACAACATTATTCTAAAATTTTCCTATAAATTAGACTCATCCAGCTGATCTTAAATTCATATGATACTTAGTAATTGTAAATATGAATATAACCATTAAATTCAGGTTACCTGCCTTTTGTATAAATTAAATAATTAAGCTCCAGTTAAATAACAATGTTATGTTTTCTAAATAAAATTTCAAATAAAAATTGCCTATTACAAAAAATAAGCACCTTTCAAGCACTCAAAAAATACTTTTAAGCACTTAAAAACAATATCATAATTAGGCAGGAAAATTTTAGAAAAAGTTTGGAAAAGACTGGAAAGTTTTAGACAATTGACGGTTTTATCTAGTTTTAACCGCCATGTCAAAGAAGGAAAAAAACCTTTTGGCATCGTTTTTTGACAATTGTCAAAAATCATGAAATTTTGAATCATGTAAAACGAATGACGTTTTCATACGCCACGGACTGACAATAAGTCGAAATAGATTGGGGTTGAATTAATTATGAAAATGTTTAATAGAACAAACTTGAAGCAAAAATCAACATAGTAAAGGAAAAAATCTCATTTCGAAAAAGGGAAAATTAAGCACTTTTAGAAACACCCAATTAAAAAAAGCACCTTTAAGGGCTTTTAAAAAATAAAAATAAGCACCTTTAAGCACTTTTTAAAAATGCTACGCACCCTGTATTAGGATGCTAGTTTATATGAGATTCTACCAATCCATGACTATGAAACTGAGTCATGGCTATGAGAATAAGTGTGCATTTTTTAGTGAATGAAATAAATAAGCAATACAAAGGAGAAAATTATAAATAATTACCACTGCAGGAGAAGGCACATGAATACATGTAACAGAATTAGCTTTAATATTATTTGCTAGATGACACAGGAACACACCATCATTTAATGCAGACTCTAGATCATCAGGAAGTTTCAGTTTTAGCCTACATTCTAGTATCTACATAAAAGAATAAGCCTTTCATCATACATAATGACAAGAAATAATTTGTACACATATATCTTTCAATTTAATGCTTATTAAAATATCACAAATAAACTTTCAAATGCAAACATGAAAACATTACTAACTACAAAAAAGTAAATGCTATGCTGTTACGGTATCAAAAAATTTTCAGCTACGCGCCACGACTTATCTTGTCCAATATTTTCTTTTTTTTTTTTGCAGGATTTTTTCTAATGTCTTATAAGGTTTAGCACAAACACATGTCTTCAATATAGATCAAATGAAAATTTCATCAAATTAAAGTCTGGTGGATAAAGTGGCCATTTTTGTGCAGTTAAAAAGCCACAAAAATTATCAATTACTCAGTCATGAGCACTTTTAGCTGTGAGTAACAGCAGATAAAAGACTGACTCTCATATGTATTCTTGGATATGTGCTTGGATCATAACAGAACATAATATAAGCATCATAGTAATTAAACAAGAAAAAAGCATAATGATTCATAGAGTTTCATTATGCTTCTTAAGAAAGTAATTGCACAGTATGTTACTTAGTTTTGTAAACATCTCTATTAATTTAATCTTTCAAGTACCTTGTTTCAGATGCTTAAGCCTGTTATTCTAGTCTACATATTGTACCTGCAGTATGCAAAAAGTTAATCATTTAGTCTTAATAATGACTTAGTATAACTAGGTTGTCAAGTCAAAAAAGTAAGTTTGATTTACACAATTATTCATTTCTGAAATTGTATAAAATTTAAATAGCGGCAGATAAACTTTTTCAATTTAAAAGAAACAAAAAATTTGCTATTTCCACAAATATAAAGAATTTAAAAGAACTGTATTCATTATTGCAATTTCTTAACATATCAAGCAATTCAAGTTGTAGCTAAAGCAAAACTTTTCATCAGCTTTAAACAAACTTAAGACTATTATTTTTTACTTATTATTTAACTGCAGAATTACAATATTTATTCAAAATGAAACTAATTTCTTACCAGTCCAATATAGAGCATTTGTTATTAATTTAAGCAAAGTTGTACATAACTGTTAGGCGCATTGGGCAAAAAATAATGAAATTAAATTTAAGACATTTCTGCATAAATTAAAAAGATTAAAACCACTACCTCTCGTAATCTGGATATTAGCTCTTGTTCTTCTCTAGCCTTGTCAAATTCTCTTTTCATTGTGAAACTGGATTTCAAAGGCTTAGGAGGAGTAGTAGCTAAATAATAATAACAATTTTACTTTTTCAGCGAAGGCAAGTTAACAAAATAAAGCTTATATTTTTAAATTATACCTAAATAAATAAAATTTTTCAGTGATTGAACAATTAGTTTTAAAAAAAAGTAAAAAGAAAAAGAAAGAAAAGAGAAAATAAATTTATCTTTTAACAAAATTATACTTTCAATCTTTTTTCCTTCTTCTTAAATGTACACTATATAGCATGAACTAACCATTTGAAGGCTGAAAAGCACCCACACGAAAGAGTTTGAAAAGAAAATAGAAAGAAAAAATTTTTTTAATTATTTAAATTAAAATAATTCATTTTAGCTTTATATTTTTCTTCTTTATTAAAGAAATTGTTGATAAATAAATTTATAAGCCTTATTCTCTACCAGGGTTCGTTGATTTAAATCATCTTGATTTAAATCACGATTTAAATCATGACTTAAATCAAATGATTTTTTTTAAAAAATCATTGATTTAAATCAACAAATTATTTTTATATATATATATTGATATCAAAAGTTAAAAAACAGTGTTTTAAATAATTGATAATTTTGTTATTTTCTTTTCTTAGTTCTAAAATTTATTTTAAATAAATTGCTGCATTAATAAATTTTAGTTAACGAAATTTCTTTCTTGGTGTGTGTTAAATTCCAACACATTTGAAATTACATTTTTAAAAATATTTTGATTCTTGAGATTGAAAGTACTGATTAAAGTAAACATTTAATGCTGTCTTAATATAAACTTGCTTAGCTGTAGAAAGTATTTAATAAACATGACTTTTTTTCAAGAAAGAAGGTGCAAATAATGTTAATTAAAATTCTACCGTTAGATTGTAAAAGCATGGAATTATAATCTAAATTATATTTTATTGGTAGAAAATGTATATTTCTAAAGCTCGAGGTTATATTAAAAAAAATTCCCTTATTAAGCCAAAAATAGAAAAAGAAACAAAAAGGCTGATGATTTCAGATATTTTTTTCCTGCTATAGTCTAATTCTTCCCTTTCAAAGTCTATTTGAAGCAGTAGGGTTATTAGCTGGTTTTTTTTTTTTCTTCTTATAATATGTTTACAGTATCTTTTTCGTCATCAGATTTTCTATAAAGAAATTTTGTGGAAAAAAAATTCCAATGAGCACGTAGATTTTTTTAAAAATTTTTTTTAGCTTAACTAATCTATTTTGATATAGGATTAAAGATGAATATTTCAATATAAAAATATATAGATTAAATATTTATTTTTTGATGAATGACTACATTTATAAACACAATCTGATACATTGATTTTGTCATTTTAAAAATCATGAAAAAAAAAGAAATCACAATTTGAAATTAAACTTATGGTTTGCTAATTGAAACCTTGTTTTAAGTATAATTTATATTTTCTATTTCCTCTAATCTTTAAATTTCAATCATGCATTTGTTTCAAAATGGTTGCTATGCATTCAAAACTATGTATCTTAATGAAAAATTATTTTGGTAAGTCAGAGCTTCTAAAATATTGTTATAATATAGTTTTAATATTAATTTAATTTTGACTAAACATTTATAAAGTTTTTTTAATCATAAATTAAAGTTCTTACAATGTGTTCGAATAAAAATCAAAAAAATCTGATTTAAATCAAAAAAATCGGATTGATTTGATTTTTTTTTTAAAAATCTAAATAATCACGAACCCTGTTCCCTACACATAAAATTACAGGAGAAACTTATAAAGGATTTTAAAACATACTTGTTTTTGGCCATGTAAAGTTACTTTGAGAATTGTCATTACTCAAAGATGGAGAGCCTTTATCTTCCTGACTAAATATTTTATCTGCTGAGTTCATTTTCTAAAAATTAGGAAAAATATCATAAATACAACAGACACAATATAAATTAAAATATTTATGAAACTTAAAACATCATATTAATAAAATATTTATAAACACAAGGCTTATTAAGATGATTTTGATGCTAATTTTATGAACTATAAATTGATTAACAGAAATAATGATAAGTTGCTATTTACAGCTAATTTTTCTGAAAATTTTCTCATCCACAACAAAGTGTACCCCCATTTACTTGGATACATTTTGAAGAATTCTGTCCTGATATATGTCCTGCATATTTCTCATATAAAATAAAAATTTATTTGAGTGATAAGTACAGACACAAATATCAGAAAATTTTCTGGAACAGTATACACTTACTAACTTACCAGACTATTTTTATAAAGAGCAAATAACAAACTAAAGAAAAATATAATTTGCTCTTCTTATTAATAATTTGCTCCACTTAAAAAAAAATAATTTGCTCAAATTAAAAATAAAATTTGCTATAACGGCCAACTTTATCACCAAAGAATAATAAAATAACCATTGATTCAACAGCCAAGGAAGGAACTTGGCCTTCTCGATAACATTTCTCCACACAATTATTTTTGCTGCCAGATCTTGCAAGTTATTATAAAATATACTTTTTTTAATTTCAGGTTCACTTGTTTAGAATTGAAAGCTTTTAATAATTTCCAGCATAATTTCATTAATGGAGCAGTAAACAACTCATAATAATTTGAGATCAATATAAAGAAAATTCATATACATTTCTGATGCATTAAAAAATAACTAGTATCAATTATTGTTTAATAATCATTCACACTAACACTTAATTCAAATTCATAATCAATTAGAAGACTTCGTAAATAAGTAATTTTAAAGTGGATTTCAATAATCTCAAAATGAAAACACAGTGATTATGCAGTTTAACAATTTAGAACATAATTTAGAGGTTTATTCCTTTATTCACAATTTATAAATTGTATGATATGTTTGATGTCCATTGAGGATTCATACTTATCATTGAACAGACTTAAAAAAAAAATGCCCTAAACTGACCATTTACAAAGAAGCTCACATCTGCAATTACTAGCTGTTAATGACATGAATACTCACACCAATTAAAAAGCTTTTCCCTATTGAATCACTGTGAAACAATATATTAAAATATTTAAAGATGCTTACTTTTCGACTATCATTGTTTGGGGAATAAGTCATCTTTGGCATATTTTCCCCAGGACTATCTGGTTGCACCACTGACTCTGAATGCCATTGATTGACTAGGGAATTGTTGTTTCCTTTGGATCCATCTTCAGACTGAAAAGGTTATGAAAGGAAATTTAAAATATAAGAGATTAAACTCTTTAATTATCTGTTAAATTAAAGTTCCTCAAATAACATAAGTCTTTAAAGTAAAAATAGGCATAGTAAACCCTCTATGTAAGAAATGGTTCATAAGGTAATTTTATTTTTGTCTGCGTAAACTGACTGAGTGTAGAATTTAATGGCAGAATAAAAGCAAAGATCTCAAAGTCATAGAATCATGCAATCCATATATACAAGAAAAGGAATAGCATAGCTTCCATTTAGCTTTCATTGAGGGACATATACAATGGAAAATTTACAAAAAATCTCTTGAATACAAAAATATGAGTACACAACTTGAAAAATAGCATTTATTACTTCAGGTTCAGGAACATAAGTTTGTGGAAAATCAGACTGAAGGAAGATTTCCTTTTGGACGATTATATATTGTTTTGGGAACATATGTTTTTGAGGAATATATCTTAAAATATAAGTACACAATTTTGATAATTGCATAATAAAACAATTAAATGGCTTGGAGCAAGAGCAAAGTAAGTTCAAAATCACAAATGGTTAATGAGAGATAAATAAATTTAAAAAAAATAGGGTTGTGTAGTTTTTGTTCAAGATATTTATAATGCAGAAGAGATCTGATTGTACATTAGTGCCCGGAATCTGTGCTAGTTAAGCAGCTGTATAGTCTACAGTCAAAATGAGGTATTTTTGTTTACCTTGTCATTGCATTAAACCTTTAAGTTCTTTCTCCTGCCTTTTTTCCCCTGCTTAATACGAAAATTTTGAACATGCTTAATGCGTCTCTGCCTAATACGGAAATTTTGAACATGCAATAATTTTAACCTCAATGAAGCATTTTTCTAAGATTGGAAATTAAATTGATTGTTATGGGGTGGATAAAATGCTTGGTAAAAAGATATTTTTTAACTATGATGAAGATATTTTAGCAACTAATATAGGTAGATGAAATTTACAAACACATTATAAACGTAAATGATGAAGAAAGTGACTTTGAAAATGAAGCAATAAATAAATCACTACTGCCTTCTAATAAAATAGAATAACAATAAAGTAAAATAACAAGAATGAAATTGATAGTTTTGATAATTGACAAGAATGAATAGATAATTGAATTTAATTGCAGTTGTTTGAGAAGGCAGCAAACAACTGCAATTCAATTATCTATTCATTCTTGTCAATTATCAAAACTATCAATTTCATTCTTGTTATTTTACTTTATTGTTATTTTATTTTATTAATGTAATTTGAACAATAAAAAAACAAAACAGAACATTTTTAAACACTCCAATGTATTAGGAAATGAATTTACAAACATAAACCTGCAAAAATGTTGAAGGAAAAATTTCTTGAATATTTTTTTTTTCTCACAAATTCTGTTTAAGAATGTACTTTAATTAAGAATAATTTCTCACAGTCCCTTCAAAGTAATTAAACAAAGAGCTATCTGTATAATAATTTTATTCGTCTCTAAAACACAACACACAATTATTTTAATCATGAAAGTAATTGAAAATTACTATGCATAGTAAAATTACTATATATATACATATAATTATTTAGAAATGTTATAGCTTTTTCATAAACTATTCTATATAATGTATATTTACCAGTGGAGCAGCATTTTCGTTTCTGCGAAGAACTTGCTTGGAAGCTACAGATGTTTTTGTTTTCGATATTGGAAGCTTGGGAGAAAGCTCAACTCTAAAAATGATAATTATAAATTGAAACTATCTTTTGAGTTAATTCAGGGATTTGAACAAAAAATAGCATTACTATCAAAACTTTTTATCTGCACAAGAAAGAACAAAATTTTATATATTTTCTAGATTACTAACATTTTATCCAATATATTAAATTAAAGCTTAAATCTATATTTATTAAGCATGAAACAAAAAATTTTTTATTAATATTTGTATTTTAGGGAAAACTAGCTCTCATTTTAACATGTACTTTACTAATGTGTTAACATGTACCTATTTTACAGTCACTGTAAGAAACTTTACAAAATATAATAAATTGAGGAAAATAGAATAAAATTCTTAAAACCCTCCACCAGTTTAACATTTCTTTAACAGGTAAGGTAATGAACTTTGCAATATACTATGTTTAATGAACAAATATTAATACGTCCAGTCGATAAAAATTATTAATATATCATAAGATAAAATAATTTCAAAACAGCATAATCATAAAATAAATTACCATAATAACAATTAAAGTATTAGCAATAAAATATTTCTTAGTTTAACCAATAATTTTACAGATTTGAGAAAAAAAATCATGTGTGTTGCCTAGCTTTTAAAGCAATTTAGTAGCATTTTCCTTTCTTTGCTATTTTTTTAAAGAATATTTAAGTAAACTGAAGTTCAATTAAGATAATTTAGCTTCACTGTATCATAAAAATTTTGTCTTATTTATAACAAGGAAAAATTTTGATAATAGACATGACAATTTCTGTTATAGCTGAGTAGAAAAAACACACATATATAAAAAAAAATTTAAAGCAGAATTACACAAAGATATTTTGAATCTTTATGTACCTCACTACATTAATACTTCGAATATGGGTAAATTAGTATACAGAAAAATGTGAGTTTAATTATTTTTACATTTTAACTTGTTAAACATTTTTTTTAATTCCAAAATAACAAATTTTAAAAACAATCAGACTAATATTTACATGCAAATTAAAATAAAGGTCTTAAAAGGTCACATTATCAAGCATCAGATCTTTTGGAGTGTAAAATATTTATAAAAAAGGAGCAAATCTTTAAATATTACTTTAAAAATAACTTCGAAGTATAATTCAAAACTCACAAACTTCAATTGTTTAAAAACAGTTCTAACTTATGAATATCACATTTATTGGATTTGAAACAATGTGCAACATAATTAAATTTTTCACGATTCAAAAGAAATTCAAAGACAATGTTCAGAATAAAAAAATCATAAGCTTACCCATTTTCTTCCGGAGGTGTTTTTTTGTAGATATTTGTAGTTTCCGATTCTCTTTTCTTCTTTAAAGCTTCCTTATATTCCTTGAAAGTTTGGACAGTGGAGACAGGATCAGAACTATTTTCTTCAGAAAATTTACCATCATCTCCATTTACTGGGATATAATTAAATAAGGTGCTAGAAATAAAATAATGACTCATTTATTATAACTGTACTTTTACATATTTTAAACAAAAAAGCCATTATAAATGCTGGAATAAAGAAAGCAGTCATCTAACAGACGTTAAATCACTTCTAGTTTTTAACTATATGAGTATACCAAAAAGAAGGCTTTTTGTGAGTTGAATAATTTAATGATAAAGCAAAATGACATGAATAAAATACAAATAAACATACAGAAATAGATATATTACAATTTAAGTTCTATGAACATTCTTTAGGGTCTTAAATACAAAAAAAAAGTTACTAAAGATAAGTTGTTTACAGAACCAAAACTACAGTATGACCATCTCTGCATGTTTATTAGAACTTTATTCATTTTGTTTAGCTCTATCATAAATAGCCCTATCCTCATTTGAATGGAACATTTATATACAGAGTGTTTAAAAAAAAAAAAACATGACTAGAATAAAAGGGAAAATGACGTATGCATAAAGAATTAAATATCACAAAGTAACATTAAGTCACTAATGCTTTTAGAAACAGATAGAAAGGCTTGCAAATTGTATGCAATATGCAAGGAAAATAAACAAATATGCACCCTTTTATTTAAACATCTATAGAATATTATTTTATTATGTTTCTACACTTATTACACATTTACAACCAATACTGATGCAGGAGATGGAGATAATTTTAGTTTCTTTGAGAAGGCGAGACATTAGGTGCAACATAGGTGTAACATGCCAGGCCATAACTTTTAGCACCTTCTGTAGTTCAATTTGCTCATAAATTCATAATATGCGTGGAAATAAAATTTAAAAAAAAAAAACTCTCCAGGTATGACACATGAGCCGTGATGGCTCTGGGAATAAAGCACTCGCCTTCCAATGATGTGGACCAGGTTTGAATCTCAACGATAACTGGTCGATATGAATTCCACATCCGGCTTGCACCAGCTACAGTGATAATATAAAATATCCGCAGTGGTAGAAGAATCACGGGTTAGAGTCCCCTTGCCGTCAGGCTAACCGTGGCAGATTTTTGTGGTTTTTCACTCCATGTTACAAAAATGTGGGTTAGTTCCATCAAAAAGCCCCAAAAATCCACCAAAATTTCTTTCAATACTTGATCCAGGAGTTCCCTTGTCGTCTGGATTGGGTACAAAATTACAAGGCTACATAGTTGAACATTAGTAGTCCTAAACCCAAAAATTAGGTTGGCTGTTCAACAACAGTTATAAAATAAAATAAGATGACACATATGCGCATAAATAAAGATGACATGAGACATCCCCTCAAATAGTATTTAAAAAAAAACTTTATATGTAAGAGAAATTGTGAAATATATAACTTATCAGAAAGAGTTTTTAAAAGGGGGTAAATTGATAGAGTTATCCACATCTATCTCATTATATATATACACTGATAACTCACGATCAAGAAATGCCCAAATTAATTGCCGGTGTATAAGTCGATGACTTGATTTTCGGAAAATTTTTATAGATTGAAAAGGCTGCTTATACACCAGTATATATGGTACTCTCCTGTAATAATAAAAACAAAATAGAAGACTAGAATAATGGAAAATCAAATAACATTAAGGGCAATCGAATAAAAAAATGATAACTGCTGGTAATGCTATATTATAAATACAAGTAGAATAATGTAATAAAAATAAAGTTGAAAATCTCACTTTGTGTTTTGATTTCTAACAGCCAAACTTCCAACATTTTCCCATCTAGGAGATTCGGCTGAGTATTTTTTGAAGCCAAGAGTGAGCTATAATAAGAAAAAATTAAATAAACACAAAACAAATTTTCACTAAAAACTTATATAAGCAACAACAAAAAAAGGGGGGGAAGGGCATAAATTTTTTAATTTTATTTTTTTTAGCTTAATAAGAATAGCATTATGGAAACAAACTTTTGCAAACGAAAAATAAAAACCTTAATTATTATAATTTTTTTTTTTTAGTTTTCTTTGAGGAAAGTAATAATATAATACTTCTGGGTACTAATCCATATAATAGAAGAGAAAGCTAATAGAAAAGATTTTAGCAAAAAGTACTGAAATTTTTATAGTCAAATGGATGATAAGAAATCTTTATTTCCTTCATAGTTCCACTATTTTGAAACTAAATTAGTAGCATCTTTTTCAAATATACTAAAATAAAGATTCTTCTTAATAATTAATTTTATAACCTGCCATATTCATTTTGTTAGAAAACTAATGTGACACCTGGTGGTGGTAGAACTTTGTGCTTTCGAGCCACAGGTCCTGGGCTCGATCTCTAGGCTGAGCAAGGTTGACTTCAATGGGTCAATAAAAAAAGTATCAAGCATGCTTGGGGACTAAACACCGGGAGTTCCTTGCTTGGTTGACCTTCCAGATCTGCTGCTGCATCCCAGAGTTCAAGGTCAAGAAAACTAAGTAGGGAACAGTAGGCCTTGGTTCTCTATGGGCTGTCGCATCACTGAGTTTAGTTTTAGAAAGTTAATTTTATGAAAATATTTCATACTACAGTAGAGAAACAATTATCTGGGATGCTCAGGACCATCGCTATTCCGGATGTCTGAATTTCCCGGTTTTCTGGATTGACCAAAAAGTGTCGTTAATCGATGTTTTATCGAACCCGAATTACAAGGAAAAAGTGAAACACATTTTAAAGTACGAAAAAAATGAAAAGATCTCCTAAATTAAAAAAAAAGGNAAAAAAAAATGGTAGAAATATAACATTTAAAAGAATAAAAAAATTTGCAAGTTTAGACAAGAAAATCAAGTTTAAAAAATACAAAATTCTCATATTTATTTTTTAAAAATAATTACAATTCCTAAATTAAATAATATAAACAAAACCAATGATTAAATAACGCAATATATTTCATACCTAATTATACGGGGAGAAACGATAAAATAAAAGGAAAACTTATTAATCTAAATAAAAACACTTGAAAATTATCGAACCGAAACAATAGTTTAAAAAGGCACTAGCATAAATATTAAAACCTGGAGCAAGGCAAGATCAACGGAATTTTAAAAAAAATTATACAACTTATGAATAAAAAGAATTATTTATTGAGTGAAATTTATCGTGGGAAAAAAAATCAAACGTAGTAGAATCAGTAAAACAAAACTGCAATCTACTTCATAAAATAATCGTATGTTTAAATTAATAAACAATTCTCCTTTTATTTATTTTTTTACAAAAACACGATTTTTAATTAAAGCAGATGTGATTCAACATCAAGAAAAACTTGCAAATAATACCACACTTCCAAAGAATCAGAATTTATTCAAAAGAAAAGCAATGTCAAATAGATAAATATATTTCTCTCTTTCATCTTCTGTTCACTGATATGCATGTGCAATGCATTCCCCCCCCCCTAAATCAAAGATAAAGTGAAATCAGCATGCCATTCCTTTGAGTTTGATTGACGGCCTAAAGGAGAAAATTAAACATTCGTCCGTTCCCTGCCTCCTATCGATCTAAGATCTTTAAGGTCACGGAAGAAATAATGTTTCTCTGAGTAAACGGGGGGGNAAAAGGATTCTCCCCTTCCTCACATTTTCCTCTACTGAACTTCAAGGATGAGTCCAATTTCAGTTTTTTTTTCATAATTGTTCTAGTTTAAAATGGTGGGTAAACCAAGCAAAATTTTTCCCGGCTTTCCGGTTATCTGGATACCGGATAAATGGTTCTCTACTGTAGTAACATCTGAGAAAGTGTACCATCTAACTAAAATTTTATAAATCCAAAAAAATACAGTTAAAGGTCTAGCTCTAATTTCATAAATAGATAAAGACCAAATTATTTAAACTGGTAAACTCATGTAACCATTAAATATAATCATACCTAATTTAAAAACAAAACATTACTTACATCTTGAGATTCTTGAGATCTGCAGTCACCATCTGATGTGCTGTAGCCTGAATCAAATGTATAACTTTTTCTACAACTACCAGAAGTAAAGCCGTTCTGAAACCTTGAATCAGATCTAAAATAAAAAAGAATTTTAATATTTATTTAAACATCCAAAATAAATATTTAAAAACAAGTGTTTAAATTTTAAATAACTTACAAAATGGAAGGACTTCTGTATTTTTGGAATTCTGTTTCTAAAACTATTCCACGCTTATCTTCTTTGATAGCTTGGATTTCAAGGAACTTGAAAACATGAATTCTTCCTCTTTTGCAAAGCTAAAAATAACGATAAGAAACAGCATTGAAAAAATTAAAGGCATAACTATTTAAGCTCAATATTATTTCGGTACCTTTAAAGTGAAAAGAAAAAAAGATTAATTGCTAAATTCTCAAGTTGAAAACAGTTTTAAAAAAATATTACTCAAATTTAATTAAATTATATAGAATTCCCATTTAAATTAATAAGAGAAATTACTCAGTTTCAATTAAATACTAAACATGATAAATATAAGATAAATCAAATGAAGATTACAGAATGTTGGGAAACCACACATGTTCACTATTTAAATAATACTATGTATCAATATTTTTTTGCCTTCGTGAGATACAAATACATATTTTTTCTATATTTTTGTAACTATATGCGCTGCCAATAACTTCCTTTTTTACAGAAATCGTTTGTTTTTTTCTTTTATTTAATAGCCCATAAGTCTAAAGAATGTTTCAGCACTTTACTAAACTTTGAAACCTTTTTTCTCTAAACAAAAGTTTCACTGAAAATTTTAGGAACTTGGAAAACTTGAAATTGCAGTTACATAACTTATCAAATTAACAAGGTTATATCATCAAACAGTGCGATAATTTTGGATCAGCCCAATAAAGATGAAAAGATATACATTTTGAAAGAAAATAAATCTACAAGAAATTTCTCAACTTTAAAAGAGAGCAGGAAATTTCTGGCCACAGTGGATTTTTGATTAAAGATTTTTGAAGTCTTGATTGGAAAAGAGAATTTCATATTTGAAATTTAAGAAAGAACTTCTCAAGGATTGTCTGAAAAAAGTCAGTGAATGTTAGGAGTGTACAATAAAAAAAACATACATCAATCTTCATATTAAACTAAAATAAAAGTGATCAGTAAAAAAATTTGTAAAACAGAATGTCAGTAAAGAATTTTTTTTTAAATATCATTAAAAATGCCCCAAAAGAAAATTTAACATAACACTCAATTCTAGAAATATTTTAAACAACATGAACACACGAATACGTACCACAGCTGGAGGGAATGTCATTGGGTTATGATCTAAAATTAAATCTTGCAAAGAAGTCATGTAACGCATTTGTGTGGGTATGGTAGAAATCCTGTTGGCAGAAATGTCTAAAAAGATCAACCTCAGCTGACATAGCTCTGAAAATACAGATAGAGTTTATATTATGTGCTTATACAAAAATAATAAAGTTATAATATTATAAAGTTGTATCTCAGTCTGCTAAACTGCACCAACAATTGTTCTTAGAATCTTTTGCTTGCAAATAAGTTATCTACTTTTTTTCTGATTTATTCATTTTCCAGCATTTACTTCCATACAAAATTATTTGTTTTACTAAGGTCTTATGTGATTTTATTTTCTTACTCAAGTATTTTGATTTTTTTATATTGTAGCAGAAATTGGATTTAATTCAAACTAATATCTGAAATTGTGTAAAATTCATAAGAAAGTGATAACTAGCAGAAGATTTTCATCCCTGCATACTTTTTTCCCTTTTTTAACAAATCGCAAGTGCTGACAAAAAAAAATTTTTCTTCAAAAGGAAAAAGAGTTATGTTTATTTAGATTTTCAAAAAGTGTCTGCGAAATAGACCTTTCTGGTAAATGGATGTCGGGATATGGGATTTCGTACTAATATATATTTGATGAAAATACTAAGGGGGAAACTTTACGTGCATATAAAATTTGCACCTAGGTATGTTTCATGACAGTCAACCACGGGTAATTTCATTAATAATTAGCATTTAAAAAATATTTCAGAAGACCTGTTTTATTTCTCTTGACTGTCACACATAATGGAGAAAATATACATAAATACANGTTGGCACGTCTGAAATTTGCACCTAGGTATGTCTCATGACAATCAACCACGGGTAATTTCATTAATAATTAGCATTTAAAAAATATTTCAGAAGACCTGTTTTATTTCTCTTGACTGTCACACATAATGGAGAAAATATACATAAATACACACATTAGAGCAATATTATTCTCATATTTTCTCAATATTTAAAAAATATTGAACATATAATTAGCGCTCAAAGCTTTATAGTAATAACTGGGGAACTTGGCCTTAAGCTCGCTACCACTCGCCAATAATCTAACATAATTTACATTACATTAAAATATACATACCAAACAAAATTATTTTCCCCTCCAAGCGTAAAAAATAGTGAACATAACACATGCTTCTGTAAATTTTTAGTAATAACTAGAGGACTTAGCCTTCTGCTTGCTATCATTTTTCAATAATTTCATATAATTTATACAATATTAAAATATACTTACCAAGGGGTATTTCCAAAAGTAAATTTCTTTTTAAATTGAGCTTTTGCAGAGTTTGAACATGGCCCAACTGAGGAGGGATTATAGTTATTTCGTTGCAACTAACATCCTGAAAAAATTGAGTGAAATATTGTTTGATAAATCATGGCATGTTACATCAGGGGTCTGTCTAGGTTTTTTTGAGAGGTACCTATTTTGTAAAAATTTAGAGATAATTTGTGAAAATTAAAAATTATATTAAAAAATCAACAAAAAATACAGATTTATCCTTTCTTATTCTAATAAAATTTTAAGATGTAAGTATTTTGTGAAACTACCACTTTTCCTAAAGTTGAATTTGTGAAGGTGCCTCTAAACGGTAGTAAATTTAGCCTGGACAGACCCCTGTATGTATATATATAAAACAATTAAAAAAAAAAAAAAGAGCAAAAATACAAAATATTAAAGATACAATAAATATTTTGAAAAAAGATAGTAGAAAATGCTATTATTTTTAATTTAAATTTCTTCATTTCAATAAAAAAAAAATTTTTTCATAGAAAAAATTACCAAGTCTCTTAAGCATTTCATTGACGATATTTCTTCTGGAATAGATACTAAACGGTTGTTTCTCAAATTACAGACTTGCAATGGAAGATGGCATAGTGCAACTGGTATAACTGTAAGTTGATTACGGCTAAAAATGACAAAATTGAAACAAATCAGAAAAAATTTGAGAGAAAATTACATTCTATGGTAACATATACATAATAATGCTGCATTAGATATCACATGTATGGCCATAAACAAATTTAGCCAAATACGTACAACACACACAGGGCAAAAAATATGTATTTTTCTGAGAACAAAATCTGATCTTTCTTTTTTTTTAACTATAGGCTTTTCTGCCACAAAAAAACAAGTTTTTCCCATGTTATTCAATTGAAAAATAGTGCTTAGCAAGAAAATTTTAGTATTTTTCCCAGGGACTCAATGCTTGGACATTTTTAAAAAAATACGCACAATCACAATGTACTGTGATAATAATAAAAATACATAAATTTTTTGTACATTTACCACACTTCTAGAAAACCTATTTCATTTTTATTGGCTTTGGCACTCTTTAATTAATCTCTCATTTTAATCCTCTAACTTGGACAATACCCAGCTATCTCTTCAAAAATCAAAATATTAACGCAAGGGTACAGACTGATCCTGTGAAAGAGGTTTCTGGGAAATTCATGCAGTATTGGGAATTTTGGGTCTAATTCGAAAATATTGCTACAAAATTTTTAATGCAAAAAAAAATATATTTAAAAAGAAAAAAAATTTGAAGGAAAAATTATTTGAAGAAAAAAATCTTCCAAGAAAGAAGAATGAGGACTGCCTAGTAAAAGAATATTTTCTATTTTTTTAAAAATAAAAGAATATTTTCTGTAATGAATGTTAAATATAACACATAACTTCAAAACAATTTGTTTGATCATTAGTTTGAATTCCTAAAGTTTATAAGTAGGACCTTAAATTTAGTTTTGCGAATAACTAGTATTTAAATAAATTTTTATTTCAATCTTTAGCACATATGCTAGCTTAAAATTAAATCCTTTTAAAGTCTTTCTTCTTTATTAAATAAAAACTTATCAAAAAATTTTAACAATATACAAACTTTCTAAAAACATTTTTAAAAAACTATTATAACTTTTAAAAAAAGAGAGAGATTTTTCTTGGAAATTTTAAATAAATAAAAACTATGCTCTGAGAAAATATTAGACCCTGAGAATTTTCTGCACCCTTGCATAAAAGTACCATTTATATAAAACAATTAAAAACATTTAATTATTGTTTCATTAAATAAGTAAAATTAAGTTTAAACTTCGAAAAAATTTTCAAAAACTAAATCCAAATGTTCAATACATAAAAAAAATATATTTAAATAGTTTCGATACAAAAAAAAATTCCCTTTAAAAATAGTAGCATTGATGATAATTAATTACATTGATCATAACATTTATTTCTTCACAAATACTATAAACCAGACAAAATACTACTAGATAAAAGAAGCTTGTGGCATTGGCTAGAGCTCGGGGGGTTGAAATACAGGGACGCTTAATGCCAAATATTTTATATGATATAAAATAGTATACGGACAAACATAAATTTTAATATTTACGAGAAGGGAGTAAAAGGAGCATCTACTAACTGTTCAGATGGCACTATAGTTGTTACAGTGCTTTTTTTCAAACTCAACCCCTGAGCTCTAGCCCAGGCCATATTGGTGCCCAACATGGGACCATGGCTAGAGCTTGGGGGATTGAAATAAAGAAAAGCTTAGTGCCAAGTACTTTTATTACTACCGATTATCCGGAACGATCTGGATAATTGTTATTCTGGATAACTGATTTTTCCGGTTTTCTGAATCGTTTCAAAAAGCCGCTTTTTTTTTTAATTGTTGAACCCAACTAAAAAAAAAAAAATTGGGGAAATAATCTTAAAAAGAAGAATAAACGATGAAGTAATACACTAATGATTCCAAAATGAAGGTAAGGTATAAACATCTTTCAAAACCGAAAGAAAAATCCTAAGATCTTATGAGGAAAAAAAAAATTTTTTTTAAATGCTGGGAACATTCATCGAATTTCGTTCCGGTTTTTCAGATAACGGGTTCTGTACTGTATTAAATAGCACAAGGACAAACATAAATTTGAATAACTATGAGGAGGGAGCAGGGCCGGATTAAGCGCAAGCGAAACCCTAGGCCATTCAAACTTTTGGGACCATTAGAATAAATTTTTTTCCTCATATATTTTTTATTTATTCAAATATAAAAAGTATTTATACATTTTTTCATTTAAGTTGCAAATTTAAAATAAAAAAAGTTAAATTTCACTTTATTTTGTTAAATTAGAACTAAAAAAATTTTCATATTTTATTAATATATACATGAAATTGATATTTTTTTTTAAAAAATCCGAAAAAATCAAACTTAAAAAAATTGTTTTTGTTAATTCAAAAAAAATTCTTTAAAAGGGGCCCCAGTCCATGGCCTAGTCTGGCTAATGGGTAATCCGGTCCTGGAAGAGAGGAACAGAAAAGTCCACTCTGTCCAAAGTCTATGCATCTACTAACTGTTCTGGTTGCTACCAACTTTAATTAGTGTTGTTGAAACTAAGTTTTCTTATGGCTAATAAAGTAAAAATAACTACATTCAACTTTCTTCTAACTTGTAACAAAATATAGATGTTAATAACATAGATAAGATTTCAAGGACAAATAAACTTAAATTATACCTTAAATCTATGTATGTTAATGACTGAAGATTGATGACAACCTCTGGAACGGAACGTATCACATTATTGTAGCACTTTAATTCCTCTAGAAGAGACAATGAGCAAATTTCCTCAGGCAATTCACCAAGGCGATTTTTCGATAAATCTACGGAAAACAAGTTATGTTAAAAAAAGAAAATTATAAACATTTTTTTACAAGGAACCCCATTATTTATTAATTAATTGCACTTGACACTCTAAGTGGGTTACACAATATTTCTTTCTCTCTCATACTCATAAATTTTTTAAATTTATTATTTTTTTTTAATATTAAATGTCGCTGAAAGAGTTGAGAATCTATTGAAAATATTCAAATTCGTTTTTTTTGGAAAATACAGATAATTCCAAAATTTGATAAAAGTAATTATACATGGTATTTGCTACATTTTAGATTTTCAAATCTATGACTTTTCATAACTTTCCATGACTAATTCCAAGAATTTTTCATGACTTAACGAAGTTGCTAATTTCTCCGACAAAAACGCAACAATTGATTTGAAAAAGCATTGTAATAACATTTAATTTAAATTATAGATATAACCAAAACTGTTGTACATCTTCATATTTATCAATTTTAAGTTCAAAAATCAGAGTAAAAATAAGAGTTGAACCAAAAAAATAGCTGGGGTGAAAATACAAAAGCAAATAATTTTTTTCAATAGAATTATATCCTACAGATACTTTTCTTGTTCTTCGGAAAGGAAAGAAATACTTCTGATTTTTCTGTTCTCATTTCAGAATAAAAGAAATTTGCCAATGACTGGCTTGCTTCAGCTAGACTTTGAAACTGACAAAATAAAAATAATAAATTACAAAAATCAGAAATCACAGAAGTTTAAAAGATAATTCACTCTAGAATTATCTTTTAAGCTTCTGTGTGAAAAATTTTATATTTGAATAAAATAAAGAGTGTGAGTAGGGATTTTATAACAAATTCAGATATTCGGAACATCATGAAATTTGGGGGGTTAAATAATGACAAATAAATTAAATAACAAATAAATAAGTTAAAATAATGACATTTCATTACAAATTTTGTTCAATAATGAAATTCATGACTTTCCGGGTGCACGGATACTTTTTAATTACACATTTAAAAATGGAAGAAAAAAATTAAAAATTAATTAACACTATGCAAATTATTGTATCCAGCTATCAAATAGTATCGTATTATAATACATCTTTTACATAACACAGATTTCAGTAATGACACATTTGAAAAAAAAAAGGTTTCAAAGTTAATTTAATAGGCATTAATTCCAGAATCTAGCTTATAAACATTTTGTAAGAATCTTCTTAAAATAAAAATCTAATATTATAGAGGCAAAAATGGAATTTTTATGAGATATTTTTCATATTTTTTCAGTGTAAAAGATAATGCCATACTTTGACTTTAAAATGCTTCATATACATATAATAACTGATTAAATTACTATGAATTGACTCATTTTTAAATTAAAATCTAAGGTAGTGTGCTTAATGATTTTTATTCCAGTTACAAAATTAAGTGTATACAACACAGGCCTGATAAATTCAGATAAAAATCAATATATCCTCATCTGCAACCTAATAATGCTATAAAATTTAAATAGACAATTTTAAGATGCAAATTTTTAACCCTCCAAACCCCTTCATAAAATTGCACAACATTTTCATTGCTCTGCACTAGCTTCCTATTCAATTACATTAAGAAACTAGTATTTTGATGCAGGAAAGCCTGCATCTAAAAGATTGGAAAAAAGCCGGACTAACTCTCAATGAGTTAGTTCTTATGGACAGCTTTTATTAATGTATTATTTCACATCCTTGTAGTAAACTCATAGATAGAACTTGGGAATATTTCAGTTTTAGTATTTGCTCACAATAAAGATTATAATTATGAGAGGAGAGAACTACAAAGAATAACCTAATATTAACTGTAGGTATCTAACTTAAGACTGATAACTATAAAGTTATCAGTCTTAAGTTAGATACCTACAGTTATTATTAGGTTAAACAATAATGTTTTAATAATAAAGCAATAAATGCATGAAGCAATTAAACCATGACTACTGTAGATTAAGTTAGAAACTATTTAAAGGGAAGCCCATTAAAATAGGCTTTGAGAGAAGATTTAAGGAAGATTAAAAAAAGACGACTTTTCAATCCTTTGGTAAGAACAGATATAATTATTTTGCAAACCACACCCATTTGATGACATAGTTTAATGAATATTCAGCAAGCATCCTAAAAAGATAGGTATCTGCTTACTGTTCTCATCTATGGAATGCAATGGTACATAATAAATTGCTCGCTCTAATTGTAGAGTAAATCAAGAATGTAAATAGTAGAGTAGTTAATCTTTAATCACTAGTGAAAATTAGTAACTGATATAGAAAACTGAGATATCTTACTTTTATTCCAAAAGAACTATTTATTTACGAAACAAATATTTAGAAGCTATTTTATTAAATAAATACATGTATGCATTATTTACCTGCAGAGACAACGTCAGATAAATCATATTTACAAGCTATTTTCGGAAACTCTTTTAGTTTCCTACAGTTTAGTTCTAGTTTCCCTTTCAATTGCGCATCTTCAAATATTCTATCTATGTTCCGTAAAGAAGCTCCAGGACTACTTAGAATAGAGTTTGAAAATGCCATAATTGAAAAGAAACGCTATCATTTCTTACGATGCTGCAAGTATCACTAATACAACGACATTCCATAAACTGGTTCATTGCTATCCAGATTATGTAGAAGAACACAATTCATTTTTGGAGAAATGTAAATTGATTATATAACATTTTGATTCAAATATCTTAAATTGTATATGTTTTACTTGCGTTACTAACTCAAGTGACAGAAGTACCGATTCTTTACCTATCGACCACTTAGCAAAGCATTATTAGCAAAATTTAAAGTAGTAAATTATGTCAAATGCAGTGTATATGATTTGCTTTCAGTATAATTAGTTGGCTCTCTCTGGCGTTTTAAATAAATCAACAATATAGTTAAATGTCAATCAACAACTATTAAGGATAAATATGAATCACTTCTAGTACAATAGTTTCATTCATCCGTGTCCCTGAAAATGAAGTTGCGTAATGTACAACTAGGGGGCAGTAAAATAAAAACATATTTGGAAAAGCATCGTAAATAATGGATTTTTAATGATTATTCTACCTTAAAATTTTAATATTTGCTTAATAAATCAATTAAAAAAATACTTTAAGATAAAGCAAGCTAAAAGATAATTTTTTAGTCTGAAGTAGCATTTTAACTGTAACTGTTTTCATCATGCATATTGTTACTTGTTTTTTCCGTCAAGTTGGCATCACTTCTCGCCATCCATACTCGCATTTTATTATTTGTTAACATACGGAATCACCATGGCCGTCGGTAAAAATAAGGGTTTAGCTAAGGGAGGAAAGAAGGGTGTTAAGAAGAAGGTGTAAGTATTATAAAAATTAATTTAGAATTTTAACATCTGTATAATTGTGTTTTTGTTCTACTAAAGCGATATTTTTCGTTAAGTTAGTGGATGTAATCGGATGTAGTTTCTAGGTGAACCTTACTGTTTTCTAAACTTACCTAATACTTATTGTTTGATTTCTTAATTTTAGTGTTGATCCTTTCACACGAAAAGATTGGTACGATGTTAAAGCTCCTGCAATGTTTACAATCCGAAACATCGGAAAAACCCTGGTCAATAGGACACAAGGAACAAGTAGGCTAAAATTCTTTAACCATTATTAATAGAATAGTAACATGTCATATATACGTTCGTTACTGATTGTCACAATAATTGTTTTGTTTATAGAAATTGCATCCGAAGGTTTGAAAGGCCGAGTGTTTGAAATTTCACTTGCTGATCTACAAAACGATGAAATTGCCTTCAGAAAGTTTCGCCTTATTGCTGAAGATGTGCAAGGACGTGCTGTGCTAACAAATTTCCACGGTATGGACTTAACAACCGATAAATTAAGATCTATGGTCAAGAAATGGCAAACACTGATAGAGGCTAATGTTGATGTTAAAACCACCGACGGCTATCTGTTAAGGATGTTTTGCATTGGGTTCACTAAGCGGTGGGGTACTTCACAAGTTAAGAAAACATGCTACGCTCAACATTCACAGGTACAATAGTTTTTATATTTTTCCCTGTTTATCTGTGTTACTTTTTGCTAATTTTGTTTAAGTGTATAAGTAGGCTGGTACCGCTTGAATTTCTATCGCTATTTCGTGTTAAAGAACTTACCAAATCATTCTGTATGATAATATAAAATTTTTCATAAAACGTGCGTTAATAATTTTGTTCTTGACAAGCAGGATCACTGATAGGAATTTGTTATATGTCAATTTAAAAGCATATTATTAAATATGCCTTGCTTTTAAAATTCGTGGAGAAGTATACCCCTTGTTGAATTAGTATCAATTAAGGTGGTAAATTCTCCTACAGAAAGTCTAAGCTATATCATGTGGCGCACATCCGTTGTGCTGCAATCTAAAGTTTAGATACAGTTTTTTTTTTATATAGTACCATATGGTTGAATTTTTCAAATAAGAATCCGTATTTATTTGGACAACTGAATGTAATTTTTAATATTTCAGATTAATAGCATATTATTTAATTCACATTGCTTTTAAAATTTGTGGAGAAGTATACCCCTTGTTGAATTAGTATCAATGAAGGTGGTAAATTCTCCTATAGAAAGTCTTAGCTATATCATATGTGCACATCCGTTGTGCTGCATTTTAAAGCTTAGAAACAGTTTGTTTTTACAGTATCATAATATTGAGTTTTTTCAAATAAATATCTGCATTGGTATTGATATGTTACCATGTATATAATCATGTTGGAAAGATTAATGTGTTTTCTTTAAAATAATGGGAATTAAAATGCTGTAGAAAAACACCTGAAGTCATTCTTGCTTCGTTACTATCATTAATGAGTGGTTCATTGCAGAGGTGTTAATATTTTATTTTTATTTGTCATTTATAAGAATTCTATAGATTGCCTTAAGCTTTTATAAGTTTTATTCTTTCAACTGAATTCTCACTTGTGTCTGTGATCCATAATATATGATGTCAATCTTTGCAACAACGAAAAGGAATTACAAATGGTTATCAAATAATGCAGAGGCAGTCTGAGTGTATCCAGGATTTTGTCTTTTTCGTATCACTATTTCTGGTCTAAAAATGGGGCTTGAAATTTTTTTTTTGTTATAGGATTCTGCAATTCTCAAGACCTGACTTCCGCAAAATTATGAGACTCATTAAATCCTGTGAACAGGACATTGTGTGTGTATAACTGCTAATTATTTAGGCTTGATTGTATTTGTACTAGCTTTGTTCTAAAAATGGGATTTTAGGTCAGAATGTTTTGGTTTTTCGGTACATTCTTCAGTTCTGGGTGGGTCTAAAAGATAAATGCAGTGTGTGTGATTTTTATGCTGTTGAAATAATAAGTCATGGATTTACGTCACCAGAAAGTCTAATGACTTCATTGTGTTCTGAATGTGTAATAAATCTCTGCTCAGTCATATTTTATTAAAATATTTAATTAAAAAAACTATGTTCTTTAAAAATTATGCTGTTCTCATAAAAGATGAAAGAATAAGCATTTCTAGAGCGAATTATCTTTCAAGCATCTTAGATTTCAGAACATTATTAGTATTATTATTATTTTTTCATCAATTTAAAATTCTAGTTGAAGCAAGATTGGCCAAAAAAAATTTCGGAAATGAACAGAAAAATAAGGAGTGTTTTTTTCCTTTCTGATGAACAAGAAAAGTATTTTTAGAATTAGAATAAAATTCTGCTGGGAGAAAGACAAAAAAAGGATATTATTTGCTTTTGCATTTTTTTTTTCAGCTACTTTATTGTTGCTTCAACTCTTTCTTTACTCTGTTTTTTAAAGTGAAATCTATAAATATGGAATTACTGAGTATAACAGTTTTGGTTATACCTATCATTTCAATTAATGTTATTATAATGCTTTTTTTTTTTTAATTGTTTTGTTTGTCGGAGAAAATAGTAACCACGTTAAGTCGTTAAAAAAAATCTTGGTGTTAGTCGTGGATTCTAAAATCTAGCATGTACCCGATACCTTGAATCTGGCGACATTTAACATCAGTTTTTTTTATGTAACTGATAGGTACTTTAATTTAAGCTGTTATTTTTAAAAATTATGAAATGTGATTAGTTAAGGTTGGTATTGTTTTTCACTTTGTGTCATAATTACCCCTGATTGGCTTATGCTTGTGATTCTTTCAACTATTTAATTGGTTTGTAGTTGCATATATCAATTCGTATTCATGCTATTTAAAAATATTGTATTGCAATTTGTGTTGGCATATTTCTACGACCAATTTTGTGGCTCGTATTCATGTGCTTTTTTTTAGTCGTGTGTTGCTATTCATATTGATATGTGTCTAATTGTTGAGTATTATTTATTTTTTCTTGTATTTACACATGATTTAAGAGCTTTGCATCTCGTATGTTTTTTTCTTAATTGATTATATTCTTCACGAGTAGATAATTTAATTATAAACATGAATTAAAAGAATTGAATCTGTGGCTATTTTTGTCTTAAGTATACATTTCGCCTTTTAATTTTGTTTTTAGGTATTTAATTTCACTTTTGCCATTAGTTTTTTTTTTCCTTCAATTGTTACGCAAATGAGATACATTATTAATTAAATTTCAATGTTGCTTTGCTAACACTGTTAATGATGTGTAAGTTATATATTTTTTCAGCTGCTTTATTTGCAAGTAATGAAACTAAGTTGTTATGAAAAGGCATTTAATTTTGTATGTCTTTTTCATAAAAGAACTTTGCTATTTTTCTTCCTTTCTTGGGGGAGGAGTGTATATCAAGCTTTTGTAAAGTTCCATATGATTTTATGTGAGTTCCTGCAAATATGATTTTTTTTGCCCAATATTTTATTAGTCTTTCTACTGGACTAAAGTTTAAAGATAGAATGATATTTTGAGACAGATCGGTTAAATTAACAAGGTGCTTAGGGTTAAGATCTTTTTTTCTTTGCTGTGTCGATTGTCGTTCTAAATGATTTTCAGTTTTCCGTGCAATATTTATCAGAAACTGTTTATTTTGTTCATGGTGATGTATTTCTTTTTGCAAAAGAACTTCTGCATTTGTATTATTTAACAGCTATAAATTAACCATCAATTTGAGACTGCATCTCTTAATGGTTGCCTATTTTCCCTTGTAGGTAAAATTAATCAGAAAAAAGATGACTGAAACAATGATTAGAGAGGTCTCTTCTTCAGATTTAAAGGAAGTAGTCAATAAATTGTAAGTAATATTTTTGTATTTAATTGTGGCTATGTTTTTTGATGTAATATATTGGAGTTGCTTACCTCCCATTGAATTAATATTACTTGGGATATTGATACTCCTATAGCAATTCTAAGCTCATCCTCTGATATATAGCTGTTAATTGTATATCAGGCAGACTGATTATATACAATTTTGTTTGATTCTTGAACCTTTTAAAATTTGTAAAATATTTTTGTCTGCCTATAATTTGTATCTTATAATTTATTTATTTTTTAAAATAATTAGCCTTGTAAAATGTAGAGCACGATGCACAGGAAATACTTATGTCAGAAATAAAATTCAGTCTTTAAAAAAAAAAATATGGGTGATAATATTCCAGATGTACCCTGAAATTCCAAAGGAGCTAGGCGTGTCATTTTTCTGTATATATCGTAGAATTTTGTGTAGTACAAAACCATTGGTTCGCGGGCTTCTGCAAATCAGGGACTTATTTCCCAATGAAAGTTTAGAGCTCAGTCCCTTCAACAGGATATTTGTATCCATGTGATTTTTCTGAATTTGATTCTAGCAATTTGGCAGATTTTTGCTTCTTGATACTGCATTGAAATCTGCACAAAGACTAGAAAAAAGAAAAGTTCAGCTTTTTGAATGCATAAGTAACGCGGGGAACTGCTCAGTACTGTACTAGGAAAGCAACTTACATGTTGAGCAAGATAACTCAAATTTAGCCATTTATTCTTTTTTTTTTTCTGTTCAAAATGTATTAGCAGATTTAATCAACGTAAATGATATAAATGTATTCTCAAAGAAATACCAAGAACCTCTGCTGCTGTGCCTGTGCCCGTAAATGTTTTTCCCTTTATATACAAGGAATGTACCAAAACTTAGACAGGTTTAAATTATATCTAAGCCAGCTAACTTTCTTTCAGAATTCCAGACAGCATTGGTCGAGATATAGAGAAAGCCTGCCAGGGTATTTATCCATTACACGATGTAATGATTAGAAAAGTTAAAGTGCTAAAGAAACCTAAATTTGATAGTAAGTATGAATTTAAAATTAAACCATTGTAATTGTTTAGATATATGTGGTGAAACAACCCTTTGAAATTATGCCGGGTGTGATTTCAAGCTTCTATTTTTAATTGTGATAATAAAAATTCTGTTCTCATTTGTACACATTTGTTAATGTTGTGTAATGAATTTATGTGGTCATTTTTGCTAGTGTGTATAAAATTTCACTTAATTGATGAATGAATTATACCTTTGTAATTCATTAGTAAAAGTCCAATGTGACAAAATTATTTCTTTGACTATGACCTAATTTTGACCTTTAACCTAAATTTAATAGTTAGTATTAAAATCCAGTTTTTTGAAATGCACTGTGGAGATGCTTACCCCCCTCTGATTGATATGTCAACAGGGATAGTAATTCTCCTAAATCAACTCTTTGCTCATCCTCTTATTTACTCAATGTAAAACAGGCAGAAGTTAAAGAAACACCTCTTAATTTTGCACATTTTTGTTTTTCTTCAGTTCTTACTAGAAATTTTATATTGAGCCTTCGCAGTAATTGATCTAATTTTTAAAAGGTGATAACTCCCTTGTTTTGGATTTGCCAATTTTAGCTTCTTACAATATAAATTGTACAGTTGTCCACTCACTGTTTTCATCATAGGAAAAAATGGGTTAGAATTTCTCACCCTTTCTCAAACACAGGGTGAGATTTAAAAAAGTTAAGTGAGATTTCTAAAAAGAACACAAACTCTTGAAAAAAAATCATTTCTTTAATTATAATACATTTTTAACGTCTTCTATTTTTTAAAGCATTGAATATTTTTGATGCATCATCATAGAAGATTTTGCCTTTACAAGGTATTTGTCCATCTTGCATAAGTGCATAAAAAATTTGAACGTCTTACGTGAAGAAACCTTACCTACGGTATACGCGTGGTTGCAGACAAATGTGTTCTGAAGGGGGTTCCGTGGTTGTGTTCTGTTGTTCGAAAAGGTTCTGAACAATACTGGTAAATAGGGAGGCTAGATAATGGGGCAGATGTTGAAAATAATGGAAGATCCAGTAAGAAAAGTGAAACGGGTTTTATTCTAAATGGCGTAATTCGAAGCTTTTTCCAAAATGCAAGAAATTCGCGAATTTTGAAATTAATTTATAGAATGCGCTAATTTCTCACGGTAATAATTTTTTAATGCGAGAAAATAAAAAGATATGCGAGGTTCTCGCGCTGTAGTGAAAACACTATTTGTCTGTAATCTGCTATTGTGTTTATGGAATGCCTTAGATTTTCTTATGTATAAGTCCTTAAATGCTGGGTGTGATTTCAAGCTTCTATTTTTAATTGTGATAAAAAAATTGTCTTCTCATTTGTACACATTTGTTAGTGTTGCATAATGAATTTATGTAGCCATTTTTGCTAGTGTGTTATGAAATTTCACTTACTTGATAAATGAATTATGCCTTTGTAATTCATTAGTAAAAGTCCAACGTGAAAAAAATTGTTTCTTTGACTTGTTGAAGTTTAAACAAGTTAAAATATAAATTTCGTTATAAAAATTAAAATATCTTTTTTTATCGCGGATCATATTATTTTTCATAATCTGTGTTTAAATGGAAAGTTGTTATTTTTAAGTTTATGGTTAGTAAAAAATAGAATTTCAACTATCAGAACTAATTTACAACAGACAAGTAATTCTGGTTATCATACCAGAATTTTGTATGGTTTCTTAAGCTTTCTTATTTATATTAAAGAACTACAATTTTTAACTTGGTGGAATTAGAATTCTTAATAAGTATTCCATTTTGTATATTATATATATATTTTGATGGTTGTTGAGAATTGTAATTCTTCTCTTATCATTTAAAACTGTTAAATAATCCCAAGAAAATAAAGTGACAAGATATTACTCAATTAAGAGCTTCATACGCTTCACTTCTTTGGCCATCATTGTTTTAAGTTGATAAATTTCAAAAATTATCTTTAAATGCGAGGGTTATTTATCAATTTTATTATTTTTTTCAAAGCCTAATGTATTACTATACTATTCTTCCCAGATAATTTCCCCTTTTTCACAATTTTAGTTACTTTTTAGTACTTTAGTTTAGTACTGATACTTTTAATGCCGTGTATCAATATATAGTATAAGCAAAAGTAATGTTTGAAATTGTATGACAAAAAAAAAAAGATACTTCTGTTTTTTAAATTTGCTTTATTTTAAATTGTTCTCTTTCAAGTCTATCAATCCTATATCTATTGAATTAGTGAAGAGCGGTTTGCTAATCTGTTATTGCTCGTTAACAATTGTATAATCTAATGTTGTATTTATTGGTTTGATATAGTTAGTTGTCAAATCAGGTTTTTATTATTCGTCTTGTCGCTTCGTTGCATAATGATACAAGTTTTTAAAAACAAATTCATTTCTGTATAGTTATATATTTTTTGTTTGTAATCTTTAACAATTTAAATCATTTATATTTGCAGTAAGTAAACTAATGGAGCTACATGGTGAAGGTAGTGGAAAAACAACTACCACAGCTAAAGTGGGTGAAGAAGGTACTAAGATCGATAGGCCAGAAGGTTATGAACCACCTGTTCTGGAATCTGTATAACGCTGAATAAATATATGAAAAAAAAGTATTAGAAAAGTCTTGTTTGATTTATTTCTTTATAAACTATACTGACTTGTGCACAGGGTACTTTATATTTATATTGTCCAACCAAATTGTGAGTGCGGTGAAATCTCTCATCTACTGTTTGTACCAAAGTTAATTTAAAATGTGTTGGTATATTTTTAGCTGCCTTCAAAATAAAAGGAATTAATCTGCTTCATTGCGTAGAATTGACCGTTTTATGTGATTTTGTTTTGTCATAATACAGGGTTCCCCCAGTACTTGAAAGTCTTTGAATTTGGTTGAAAAGAATCAGGGCCCTGATAAATCCTTGAATTCTGCCATAGGGTTCTTGAAAAGTACTTAATTTTACAGGAATTAAAATACTATTGATTTTTCTTCCAAAAGAGTAATAAATAGATTCAAAGGAAAATTATAGAAATTCTGATTGATGCAATTTTTAATGCTTGAAGTGCAAAAGGGGTTAAAGAGGATGCAAAACTTTTCTCTCCTAGATTTTTCAGACTTGATGTTTTGAAAGCTAAAATTTCTAGCGAATTTTAGGTTTTTTAGTCAAAACATTGAATCATTTGAAAACTTTAACTCCATTATTACAGCAGGTTATTGTTATCCTATTTGTTCTTTTAATTTGTGTACAAAGAATAATTAATTTACAGTCAAGTTTTTACTGCTAATAAATAAAATTTAGTTCTGCAGGTTTCATTGATTATGAATAAACATCGTAATTCACATTAAAAAGATTCTTGATTTACGGATGGGAATTCATAAGAAATGTTCTACGAATTACGGTTTACCTGAAAGTGATTACTGAATCACGTGTCTAATATTACTAAGTGATTTGCAAATTGCTCATCAGAATTCATATTAAGATATAATGTGCATTATACATTCATTCAGTTTCATTAATTCTAATTCACTTCATTGAGTTTTCATAAAAAGTCTCACTGATGCTAGTGTTTTGAAACAGCAATGTAAACTATCAACCATTTGTATTATTAGCTGTTAAATTTAATTTTAAAAGAATTTGTTGTCAGATAAGCATTGTCATTAAAATTTCTGCTGCTATGTAATTATAAAATCTGATTGACATGTACTTTTAGTATGCAGCAATTATTGAAAGTCATTGAAAAGTTCTTAATTTTTATTAAAAAAAATGAAGTGGAAACTCTGGAATAGCTCTAAAAACTTTTTTTTATATGTTACTCTTACAATGGTTTTGTTTACTTATCTATGTATTAAAAAACTTATATTTAAGGCAATTTATTCTTTTATTTAACATTTAAGTAAGATGGAAAGGATGAAATAGACTGAGAAGTGTGATGCATAAATGTAATCAAATAATATAAAGGTATGTTTAATTCTAATAATTTAGTAAAAACTAGCTAAGTTGAGGTCCCTTATTTAAACAGTTTAGCATTAAATATGACTAGCTTAGCATCATGTAAAATTTGCTTTAAAAATATTTTTAATGGTTGGTTTTTGCGTGAAGTATTTTGAATATATTGCACGGGTAAACGAAAGCTGTGTGCTCAATTTTACATTGCTAACAGAAAAAACCCTTGAAAAATTAAATACACAATATTTAAAAGCCCTCACTCACTTTTTTTTTCTATTTCTATAAACATCTGCTAGTATCTTAAACGAATGATAAATTAAGAGAACTGCAAATAAAACTGGTCGATTAAGTTTAAGGATATCCTTCAGCAATTCAATATGAAGATGAAAAATATTGGTTGAGAATGTTAACTTTTTCACTGGATTATTCCAGGGTGCAAATGTGTCAATTTACATTATATGATGCATAGCCAGGGTATATTTACTACGTTTTGCGATACCTTCACAAAGGAAAAACGGTAGTTTCACAAAATACTTATAGAAAAAGCAAATTCTAATGCAAAACCCGTTCTTGTTGCAATCCATGGACCTGAGTTTTTCTGCCAACTGTCTTTTACGAAAAGGTAGCACATGTTTGGTCAGATAGTGCAATGTGATAAGCCTAACCTAACTGGTCACTTAAGCCTTATCAAAGTTTTTTTTTTTTTCCGCAGAGTTCCTAAAAATGAAGCGACGAGCCCTCTATGAACTTCACGAGGAGTCGAAATTCGAACATTATCTTAAACACTGTTGTAAGTTTATTCTAATAGACCTTTTATTTTTTATGAAACTTTTTTTTTTTTGTATGACCTGGTCGAAAATGTTCTCATAATGAAAATAACTTTTAAGTTAACTGTTAAATGCACGATTTTATTAAATTCAATTTGAAATTTAACTATGGGCAATGATTTTTAATTTTGGTACAATTAAATTATGGTACGAATTAAAGCCTAAGATTTAACAACAGCAAAATTATTTTTGAATATATGGGGGAAAATATGTAGAAATTTACCAGTCATAAATTTTAATTCGTAGTGACAACTTTTGAAAATATTTTCTTACTCTATATTTTTGTGTTAATTTTTTAATATAATTTTCACAAATGAATGTCTAAATTTTCGTAAAATAGATACCCCTAAAAAAAAACCTAGACAGACCCCTGATAGTGTTCTTTAATGAAATATCAAATGAACATTATTAGATATTTTGAGAAGACAAAATTAACATTGAATTTTGAGAAAAAATGGATTTTAGCTATAATTCCTGTCGCCATTCAACAGAGCCGCCGATAATGAAAATTCTTATGTGGTTATAAAATGGGCTAAACTTTTACTGCAACTTGATTAAAATTTATTTGCTATAAATGTTTTTTAAAAGAATTTTTTGATGCAATTAAGATTTTTAAAATTGCAGCCAGAAGATTTTTTTTTTCAAAGTTTTTGTTTAACATTGAAATGGGGAACGCTGGGAATTATTTTAATTCAAGAATTTAATTTAGGTGGATCAATAAGTGGGTACATTATAGAAAAATTTAAGGCAACTAGATATAGAAGTAGTGATTTTTAATTCCTACTATTAGTTCACACACTTTATATCTGGTTTAAATTTTCAATCGTTAATAAAAATAACATTTTATTCATCCACTCAAGATCAAATAAATTTTTAATAAAAATTAAAGTAAAAGTTTTCTTTGTTGACTTTAATTTTTTTTATACTACTTGTTTCTTTTGACCAAGTCAAAGTAAGGAAATATGTTAAATTTCTTGCGCAGACGATATTTTAAGTTAAGAAATCAGACTAAAGAGCATGCTTTTTCTGAATAAACATACTTCTTTTTGGCGGATTTGGATTCCTTATCCGCAAAATATGGGAGATTGCTGCAATTCTCTAGTCCTGATTCTAATTGTTTAACAAGAGAACGGTTTATGTTGTAGGATATCTTGCAAATGTTTTTCTTTCTTGCAAAATCATATTTAAAAAAACTTTTTAAATTTTCATTTCTCTGTAGCTGTTTGACAGTTCAAATGTTGGATTTTGTCATAAAATTGCAAAAATCTGTGTCCTATCACTCAAAAAAAATTGACCACTATTAAAATAAATATACAATAAAATTTAATTTTTATGAGTTATTGTTGAGAGACAGAACGGTCAAACGAAAAGAAAGTTATTTACAAAATGTTTTTGTGTCTGATTTTGTAAGTTAAAGTTCGCCTGTACCAAATATTTTAGCATATTTTGAGTTAGACATAAGAAACATTAAAATTTTCACACAGTTTTTTGGTAGTTCTATCTTATCTCTGATGGATTTGTTAGGTTAAATTTAATTGGATACCTGTAAGCAACGTCACGTTGTGTCGAACCTGATTGGCTTCTGAATCGATAAATGTCATGATTTACCTACGATGACGTCACTTGCTGTTATCTAATTGGTATTTTATATTGTGTATAACTGTTTCATCGCATTTACAATTTCGCTGTTAAATGCACGTGTTTCGTCTTTTACTGTTTATGAGTTTCATGCATTGTAGTAAGAGTACCTGTAGCACATATTTTACCTACTGATTTGTTTTAAAAACATTTGTTTGGTGCAGAATGTTTTATTTTGGACTCTGTGTCATTAAACCCTGCATTCAACTCAATTCTCGCTTTTATTTTGCGCGTTTTGGTTGTCAGCACATCGAATCAAACAAGATTCTATTTGCAAAATGAAGTGGTAGTTCATAACATGTGAACTCTAGTTACAATTTTTCGAAATTTGATTATTTTTAAAACTAATAAAAAAAATAAAGCAGTAATATAATACGCCTTAAATTAATATCCAATAATTTTGAAATATTTATAGTCAGTACAATTTAATTCATAAAAATGTTCTAAACGCACATTACAAAACTTTTATTGACAAATAAACATATTGCACTTGATACAACTAATATCATTTTATGTACGTAATATAAATAATAAATCTTAAAAACATAATCCGGATTTTAATAACTTGGTGGTGCTCTCCGCATTAAGTCTTTGGTTATAGGTACGATGGCAGGGTTGTCCTTACAGTCCTGCTGTATAAGGGCAAGGGAATTGTGAGACATGATTAGATGAATCGCTGGTTGATATCGTTGTTGTGATTATCGATGCCTCTGTATTCCTAGAGAATAGAGTAGAGGGTAGTCTGCAAACCTAGGCTGTGCACCACCGCTTAGATGGGCCCGCAACATTTTTGGTTCTGTCCTGGATCCCTCATTTGTTGTCGCCTTTTGGTCTTGACAGTTTACGGTCGATAAGATGAGAAAGACGCAAACGACGAAAGCAAGAAGCCCCTACACAAAAAGAAAATATATATATTAATATTATTGTACTCTAAATTGTTTTTCTAATATTTGTAACACAGATTTTGCAGAACCACACTGCATCTCTCTTATTCACTTACAGTTATCAGTATGACTTCTTTTTTCCCTTTATGGATTAGCAAAATCTATGGGATATTCTATGAAAAGAATAAAATCTCTTAAAGGCCATTCTCACTGGGTGTGATTTTTCTCACGCATGAATTTTTGGCGGGTAAATTTTTTCTACCAATCTGGTTCTCATTCACATGCGAAAAAAATCGTATGCAGTGAGAAAATGCTGTCTAGCCAGGAAAACCTAACATTTGTTGTATGAACAAGAGGACAAAGAGCTATGGGTGAAGCCTCTTTAAGGCTGTTTTTCGAAGATTTTGTCATAGCATGAAATGATGCTTATTTGTGAATAACATGCTATTTTCATAACTGATATGAGTTTGAAATAGTTACTTGTGACCGTTAGGTCAAGTTTAACCTATCTTTAGCCAGTGTCGTCTATGTTTAATCTGAAAATGGCGCAAGACGCCAATATATAAAAAAGCCACAGTTTTAAGAAAATGAAAAGCGCTTGTAATCTAATTTTTCAATGTTTAGAAACTTACTCCAATGCTGCATTATTTGGGCTCATAAAAAATTTTCTAAAAGGGAATGAGGCATTGATTTTGATAATTTTTACCTAGGTGAAAAAATGTCTCCAAAAATTGACGTTTTTTAAAAACATTTAATAACTTTTAAAATATTTTAGTTATTTGTTCGTTCGAAAATCCAGATAGTTCTTAACAGCAAAATCACATATACAGTTTAAAATTATGACTTTGCTTCAAGGGTAAAACGCTTAAACTATGGTACTTTATTTTCCTTGGCGAAAAAGCTTCGAAAAACCTTAATAACAGTTTCATGTTTAATATAAATATCAGTCTTAACTTTTGCTGATATTCGAATCCATGATAGAGCTTCAGATTCAACCAGCACTATAACGTTATGAACTTAGATTGTTTGTGTATGTGTGAGGAACAAGAACGTTTCAAAACCTGTATTTCCTTAGAAGATATTTATATTTTGGTCATTCGCTTGGTTGACAGTAAGCTTTGCTTCCGATAAAAAGTTCACGCCTTCTCCACTGAGCTTGTTAAAAAAAATTTCCTTTGTTGACTACGAAATCTTTACAGTTGGAGCAATTTTGAACTTGTCAAGAATTTTTTTTTAAGGCCACTATAGACTATAAAATTGATTCTATGTATTATGACGTCAGTTTCTATCTTCTCATTCTAAAGAAAAGATAAATTTTCTTCGATTTTTCAGGCAAACTGATATTTAAGAAAGACATCGATTTTATGATGTAGGGTTAGCCGGGGAAATTAGGAACAATTCTTCCTAGACAAAACATGGGTAATATTTTATTATTTATTTATTACTTTTATAACAAAACCAACTCTGCACGAAGCATAATAAATACTAACTTTTTCCACGTTTTTATTTAGTATCTTAGATCTAAATATGTGTACGTGTTTAGGATTTTTTCTTCAAGTGTAAAAAAAAAAGTATTACATGAATGGTTAATTTTTCCTAAAATTCCATACCGAATTATAAGAAAGAAAAAAATAAATTGTGAATTTATAAAACATGCAACTGTATTTAATAGATCAAGAAGTATCAAATTAATTATAGTTAATTATGAAAAAGAATACTACAATTTTACAGAGGGGAGCGAAGGGGGAAAAGGTTAAAAACATTCTGTTGATAGAGTATCCAATTAACTACTAAAGACAATAAAACTACCTTTATTACTACTTTTTTTTCTTTGTGAAATTCTATTATTATTGTAGGAAAAGATTTGACTCATACAAAATAACGCTAATTAACGTTTGTACAAAAAGTATTTATAGATTTTAATTGTTTATTTGTATTATTCGTACAGTATTTATAGATTTTGATTGTTTATTTGTACTGTATTTATAGATTTTGATTGTTTTTTAGTTCATCCAAAAGCTGTTTTTTCCCCATACAGTGGATACAATCGTCTTTAAAGGGGCATTTATACAAGAAGTATACATCCGACGTAGGGTATGAAAGCCATTATTTTATTTCGCGTCGTTGTATATTATAAATTTTTTATAATATTACATCGATATCGATCGTTGTTAAATTGTTTTACCGTAAGGTCACTTTTTCATTATAACTGCAGGATACCGACCTATCAGAACCGTTTGTCGCCCGACTATGCAAGGTCTAGTATAGTTTGTCTATGCAAAGAACTCCTCTAGTTATTCTTCTGGAGCAGTGGCGGTGACTACGGTTACGAGATTTAACTATTTTAAGTATGAGTGTCGGGTCATTTTTTTTAAAAAACTTATAATCCAATCTGTAAAAAATAAATAATATAATTACAAATTATATAATTACAAATTATATAATTACAAATTATATAATTACAAATTATATAATTATTACATTATCCAAGATGCGTGAAATTGTTCTTTAAATCTTTGATAGGTCCAAAATTGTTGTAGAAACACTTTTTATTGCAAAAGATATAATAGAATTTATGAGTTTTTCCGTTTATAAACTTAACAGAGAGAGTAGAACTTCTTTATTTACCTTCTTAACAATTACTCTCATTTTATAAATAGATGGCACTATCACTAGTTTGTGTTTTCAACAAAATATTAGGGGGACCGGAGAGTAATGTCGTTTCGGCGCATTAAATATTCGTTTGTCTTAAAAACCAATTCATTTTCTATTCCGCATTGAAAGGTTGTGGCTAACGAGGTGAATACATTATTGATTAAAAATAAAATCTTTATGACAAATATCAGATGCACCGAAATGACATTTCCTCCCGGTCCCCCTAGGATTAAATAGTTTGGTTTGATAAATCGTTAAGAAAATCATTTTATTTTCTTCCACTACCTCAAATTTTTTAGTAACTATTCCATTTTAAAAAATCGCAATTCTCCAGAGTCAGCAGTACTTTTCGTTTGGTACCGTCGCCAATAGCTCATTTTGTAGTTCAAGTGTGACGTAACTGACGTACTACTACTACTATTTATAAATAATTTCAGTAATCAGGTAATTATGATAAAAATAATTATTTAAACAAGTCATTTTATATGACATGAAATAAGAACTTTCAGTATAAGTAGACGTATTAGTTGGCAAACAATTAAAATATAAATAGCATGATTTAGTTTCTAAATTAATCATAAAACTAATAAAAATGTTAAACATCTGTTAAAAAGGTTACTCTTTGTAAAAAAAGTAAATTAATNAAGTAGACGTATTAGTTGGCAAACAATTAAAATATAAATAGCATGATTTAGTTTCTCAATTAATTATAAAACTAATAAAAATGTTAAACATCTGTTAAAAAGGTTACTCTTTGTAAAAAAAGTAAATTAATAATTATATTAGAAGTCCATAACTAATTAGGAAACCATAAGTACACTATCAAAACACAAAATATCGTGAATTTCTTAAACTGTAGGCAGTGTATTTACGGAAACAAGTTTTTAATGAAGTTTTAATTTATTTATTTTCATTTTCCCTTACCTCGTTATATCATAGGTGTATAATTAAAGTCAATAGTAGATTCCACATTTTTTAAGAGTATAAAAAAAATCTCACATTCGCTTACAAAAATTTTCAAAAAAGAAAAGAAAAGTTAGAAGGAAAAAAAAACTAAGTCTTAAAAATGAAATTTTTTCCCTTTTTGTTTGAAATTTTAAATAGATTATGTTGAATGATTAAATTGAGATTGTTGTACGATTGTTGATGATTAAATTGAGTTTTAAATAGATTATGTCGTTAATAAAAATAAGTGGTATATTTATCAAAGTTATCTTACAGAAAATTAAGTTTTACTCAAGTATATTAATTATATCACTTTCTTGTTAACAAATAACAAAAATCAAAAATAAAACCATACAGTTATGTTATATTTTGTTTTAATATTTTAAAAAATTATGATAGCATATTACTAATTATAAACATTAATAATTAACATTTTATATATAAATTATAATACATTTATTATAATATATAATATAATGCATATATCTTATAATATATTTTATTATAATTGACATTTTATATATAAACATTTCATTCGTTTGTTGAATCAACATTTCGTTTGTTGAATCTTTTAATACGATAAAGAACTTCAGCATTTTATCTTAGTATAGCTTATTTTTACTTATATATCAAATGGATAAATATGTAATTGTTTCAAACTGGAGACGAATTAATAATCTCAATGATTAAAAAGGTATTATATCATATCATAAATCTTTTAATCTCTTAGAAAATTCAAAAATGCATAAGTATGTTAAAGACTGCCGAAATTAAAATCATGTTTTTGATGTTTGGTGAATCTTTTAGTACGNAATGTATATATTTTATAATATATTTTATTATAATTAACATTTTATATATAAACATTAATAATAAACATTTCATTCGTTTGTTGAATCAACATTTCGTTTGTTGAATCTTTTAATACGATAAAGAACTTCAACATTTTATCTGAGTATAGCTTATTTTTACTTATACATCAAATTAATAAATATGTAATTGTCTCAAGCTGGAGACGAATTAATAATCTTAATGATTAAAAAGGTAACCATCTTTATATCATAAATTTTTTAATCTTTTAGAAAATTCAAAAATGCATAAGTATGTTAAAGACTGCCGAAATTAAAGTCATGTTTTTGATGTTTGTTGAATCTTTTAATACGATAAAGAACTTCAACATTTTATCTACAAATGGATACAACAAATGGATAAATATGTAATTGTCGCTTAGCTGGAGACAAAATGATTAGGGAATTTAATGATTAAGAAGGAAATTATTAATCTTTTAATATTTTAGAAAATTCAAAAATGCCAAAATATGTTGTTAAAGATTGCAGAAATTAAAATTATGTTTTTGAAATTTGTTAAACCTTTTATAACAGTAAAGAACTTAAACATTTTATTAATTGCTCTTTTTCAGTTTTATATCTACAAATGGATAAATATATAATGGTCGATAACTGGTGACGAATTGATTAAGGATTTCGGATATTAAAAATAAAATGATCTTTATCTCTTAAGGATTACAATTATTTAGAAAACTAAAAAATGTTTTGTAGTATATTAGCAATTATAGAAAGGAAAATAAAAATTAGATTAAACAATTAAAAATTAATATTTTTTAATTAATATTAACAAAACAAAATAACAAAATTAATATTTTTTAATTAATATTTGTTAATTAATGTGGTAAAGAGATTCAACAATTTATCCATCCACATCTCACTCTTATATTCATTAGTAGATAAATATATAATGGTTAAAATCTAGGAACAATTAATGATTTCATAAATGAAAAAAGGCAAATTATCTTAATGTGTTAGAGCTTTCAAAATTTTATATAATTCAAAAATGCATTGAATAATAAAAAAAATTCAGCATTTTTTCCAAGTTAGCCACCATCACTATTCTTTCATCCATTAATACATAAATATATAATAGTTACCATCTGGAAACTAATTGATTAAAAGTATCAAAAATTAAAATTGAAACTATCTTTATCTGTTAAATATTACAATAACTTAAAAAATATAAAAATACATCATAGCACGTTAATGATCGTCGAAAATAAAATTAATCTTTTGATATTTGTTAATATAATGATAGAGAAATTCATCTTTTTATAAAAGTATTTTTTCATAATGCACCCACCATATTTACTAATGGATGAATATGTAATAACTGCATTCTGGAGAAAAATTGATTAATGATTTAAAAAAAATGAAATTTGAAACTATCTTAACATGCCGATTCTCTCAACATTCTAGAAAATTCGAAAAATGCATCTAGTTTGTTCATTGCAGAAATTCGAAATATGTTAAAGAATTTCAATATATTTTACGAAACATTAAACTCTACTTACTGAGTGCCGATGATGAGTCATTATTCAACTGGAACTAAACAGTGTTAGATAAAACTTCAATTTCAGCTTCTAGCGTGAACCTGTTCTCAGTTCTTGTTGTGGAATTACTCTAGCAAGAAGTTAAGTTCAGTGTTTATATAAACTGGAAACAAGTTGCCACTCGGTGTTTCCAGAACTTTCCTTACGTCATTTCTTACTCCATGCTCTAGTTAAAGCAACATCTTGGGAATAGCCCAGAACAATGATACGAACTTGTTTAATGTTCTGAAGGTGTATAAAAAACTATTATTGTTTTCCAAGTCAAACACTTCAGTGGAATGGCACATTTTTTTTTCTTTCAATTATTTATTTTTAAAGTTGATTAATGCATAATGTCTTTATAATATACCAGAAAAATATATTAACATAATCAAAGATATGTATGATAACAGCAAAGCATGTATAGAAGTAAATGGAGAATTAACTNTAAGACTCATTGACTCTTTCGGATTTCAAGACGGGGTTCAGGTGTTCCGTCACTACAGCGCCTAAAGATTATAACTAGACCCCAGTATTTTAGTATAATTTTACCTGTTTATAGTTTTTACCATGGAAATTTTTTTTTTCCAAATGTAATTTGTATAATTGTTGTATTTTTTAGCTTGTTTAATTATATGTGCTATAAAATTGTAAATCATACCTTTGCTCACTTTATTTATTTAATCCTTTTTGTTTACTTATTTATTTTTTAATTATTTAAGATTATTGTTAATTGAAAAATATTAAGGGCCGGGATAGCCTGGTCGGTAGGGCGCTGGGTCCATGTCCGAGAGTTCGTGGGTTCGAACCCCGCCGTCCGAAGACTCCCCGTGTAGTTGGTGACTGATACACGTTAAAATTTTGTCGAGTAGCAAAGTCCTCCATGTTCTCATAACAAATCAATACCTCTGGGGATACTGGATTGGAGATCGATCGTTCTCTGATTCAGGTCAAAATTACGATTTGTGGATAAATGAATGGATGCATGAATGGGTCCGCCTTATAAACAGGTGTGACGTATGATGTGACAGAAGTCGAATTCTTAGCCATAGAGGGCGCCACTGAAAATACAAGAATCGCACACTCTGCCTTAAATTTGCTCGGTTTCACCAAGCAGGCTTGCCCGTGTGGCAAGTGGCATTGGAACCAACCAATCAAAATATTAATTGTTTTTACTTAACTCTCTAAAAGTAAGAAACTGTTACGCCTATTTCCATACCGTAACATGCTGCCTATTAAAAAATGTCTCTTTTTCCTAGAAACTTTGAACTGTTGTAGACCCTGCTTTCAAGGGTACTCGACTACCACAAGCACTTATTCCATGCTTCCTGAAATAGGCCCAACAGTTCACTGCCAAGTGCCTTAAACTCGAGGCAATGCTATAATTCTAAACCAGTTAGAACTATTTTGGTGAATAGAAATGTCTGGACTTTAATAACTGATACAACGCTAAGAATGTAAAATGTCCGGTCACATAATGTCGAGCAAAACACCACAACCTGAGATCTCTCACTTGATCACTCGTATGAATGGGTCCTCCTTGTAAAACCGACTATGGCGTATGTGAGACTAAGTCATATACTTGGCCATAGATGGCGCCACTGAAAACTAAGAAACGCACCCTCTGCCTAAAAGTCGCTTGCATTCACATAGCAGGCTTGATGATATTGGCAAATGGCATTAGTAACAACAACAACAGCACATTCCACGCATTTATATTGAAAGAATTAAAAAATTAATGACGTTTTTATTCGATGGATGAGAAGACAAGAATGGAAAAGAAAATGTTTGAGTTCATGAAAACTTAATATTTTAAAATGGCGGTCTGGCTTGACTCTAGTTTGCGAAATGTGACCAAAAAAAGTGAAAAATTATATCTTAGCATTTAAGTAATATTCGTATAAAATCCGAACTAATATATAACAAATTGTGTTTAAGTGCAATAGATTTTTTCTTCCATTATTTAAGATTCCTGCATATTATGTTAGTTCAAGAAAAACTACTTTCGATCAATATGAAAAAAAATTAATACGGTAGATATAGTTTTAATAAAATCACTATCGAGTTAAAAAAAAAAAAACGAAAGTTAGTTTACACATTCCGTATCTTATATTTAGTATTGTAAAAATTTCATTTTACTTATTGAGAACATTAAGTTACGATTAAAAAAAAAATGATGGTGATGATCACAGATTAATTATTTATTGTTTTGAATTCCGACAAAAAGGTATTCTAAGAGGTATGGTATCTAATTTCTCTTCCAGTCGCGTATAGCTGGAAATAATTGCTATTTAGAAGCAATAAAGGAAATAAATAATCGGTTTCTCTGACCCTGTTCTTACAAAATGACCATTGGTCTGACGTAAGCAGAAAAAGGCAATCTAAATGGGAAATCCAAGTATGTACATTAAAGTTGCTTTAGTCTACTCTTTCCTAACTTTTTTTTTTTTGCGAATCACAGATATGTATATAGTAATACGTCATATTACGCTCTTGGTTGGGGTTTCCCATAATTCCAGTTCCGTTAGAAAGAAGAAAAGAAAAAAAAGAGATAAGATAGAAAGAAAAAAAATGAAAAGACAGAAGAAGCAACGTTGATGTTAAGAAAAAATATTCCATTTATCCTCAAACATGTTGCTGTTATTTTTCTTCTGGCATTTAAGCTAAATATTATTTAGAAAAAAAAATGAATGGCAACAGTTTTTATGGCAAGTATGATATATTTCCGGATGTTAGATGGAAGTTTTGTGAACTTATTTGAAAGGAAATTGCAGGTGATTTATATGCAATCGAAATGAATTTCAGAAATTACAATTTATTTCCATAAAAAGAAAAATTCATTGATTATTTAAACAGTGGCAAATATTTTTTTAATGCGGTTATCACAATAGAGAAAAATATGAGCAATTTACCTCCACTCTATCCATAACTCTATAGGCAATTTAATGGTTAGCAGTTGCCCATAGGGTTGCTTATTTGCCCGGACGTAGGCGCGTAATGGGTTACCATTTTTTGTTATTTATCTTAACTTCTGGCTAATATTTTTTTTCTCGTCTGAGGCTATTAACTCATAGTTCCTCAACGACGTTCGTAAAAGAAGAAAAAGGAAATCACAGACCTTGTAGAATATTGATTGATATTCGTTTAATTTTGTGCATTTTTAAATCTTTATTCAGCTGCAGTTAAAGATTCTGAGCACTTCATTATCACATTATTGTAGCAGCATGGTATAAAAAGGATTATCATTTCTAGCCCATAATGTGAAAATTATTCTAAGATATCAAGAAATTTCATTTTCTATTTCTAAAAGATTGAAGGGCTAAAAGAGGATAGACTTAAATAACTATCTATTTCTATAACTATCTATAAATAGCTATCTATTTTTTTTTAAACATTGAATGCGAGTGAGTAATATTTTAGAAGTTATTTATGTTTAATGTATTAAACGTACAGTATTTCATTTATACCTATTTACGTATCTAATATTGCTATCTAGACAGATGAGGTATCGTTACCTATGTATATCATTACGCTAAATCGAATAAGAATAGAACCAAGTAATCTGATTTAATTGTTTGGCAGTTATAAAATTTATAAAGGTTTCGTTTGTACTAAGTACTATTTTTTGACTTTGACTTATACCAATTAACGCAATTGACATTAGTGATAGTGACTAGATAAAACATTGCTTCAAATATAATTTTTTTACGCTAAATCCAATATAAATAGTCCTTTGAACTAATTGTTTAGAAGAAGTGAGGGTTTCACGTATGACATATACAATTTTTGCTTTACCTTTTACTCATAAAATATTTATAAAGTCAAAACTATTAGATCTATCAAATCAATTCTGATTTTTTTTTTACAATTTTGTCTAAATATACATAGGAAATAATGCCTCACTTTTCTATATTAAATATACATAGGAAATAATGATCACTTTCCTATATTTTATTGGCATAAAATGCAATTCATTTATATGTCATTAACTGTAATTATCAGGAATATCATTTTTACCAAATACCATATAATTTTTTTTAAAAATTGTTTTTTAAATATAAGAGGATTGGTTTTCACGAATTGAATGTCATATTTACAATTTATTATTGTAAAATATAAAGCATTTATTATTGGTTTTAATATAATCTAATTAAAATTAACAGGATTTATTTTAGGGCAAATATATGGTAGCCTACAATATCTAAATTCATGTTAAATAATAGCTAAGAGTACTCCTTTTATGTACCTTATTATTTTTGTTAAAGGCTTTTAATGTGTTTTGCATTTTAAATAACGCAGGAATAAATTTAATATAATAAAACATTTAATATCAAGTTCTACATTTAGTACAATATTAATTTACATTTTTGATAATTATATTTTATTACCAAAGCGCTTCGGCAAAAATTATCAAGCTTTCTGGTGTTGCCATACAGCCAAAAACTCGTTAAATTTTACCATATTCACCATATACGTAGTATATTTACCATATACGTAGTATCTACCATACTTTTTTCCTCAGTGTAATGATCGTTTTTCGACGAAAAATACTTTCTAAACAAAGCATCGAAAGTAAAAAAAGTAATTTGCTTTGGTTCAAAATAAACTAAGTGCATTTTTTTTTTTTACATTTTCTGTTCTGATGTTCATTCTAAATTGGTCAAAACTTTCTATATATAACAACGGAATTAAAAAAAATTAAGTTGCTTCGATATTGTCGAAATCCGTTTTTACAATATCTGTTAAAATGATCTAAATTGGCTTAAACTTTCTATGCAAAGCACAGGCTTTCCGATTTACTGGAAATTCTGGTTTTCAAAATTATAATTCTTGCTACCATACATTTAGTAAAAAATAAAATAAAAAAACCTGAAAAGTAAATTTAACCGAGTTAAATAATTTTATGTCATGCTCTAAGATGTCGTGATGAAATTACCAAATTTTACCACATTTATCAAATTTTGTCACAGATTATAAAGTCATAATTTANATTGGAAACATCAGCTTACCCACTACTTGTATATTTAAGCGTGTTACTTATGGAAAGATTCACGTTTCCTTGTGAAAATAACGCATTTTATTAAATGGGCATCATTTTTATAAAACTTTGCTGCTACAGTTTTTAAATTTTTTTTTTAAAAAAAAGACGAAAAAAAAACGAGAAATCTTACTTATGTATAACAGGCCAACTTCGGGGAAATAAATATATTTTTAAAAAGAGCAGTTTATAATCTAAGTTAAAAAATAATAATGTAAACAGATAATAAACACTATAAGCAATTAAATAAGATCAATATAAAATTTTTAGTATG